TTTGTCTTTTTTCAGCCAGACTAACTAAGTAACTATGTACTATGTAACTATATAAATACTGTATAATAATAATAAATAAGTGCACAGAGCTTAGTAAATGAGATGAAGCTTCACTTTGCAAAGAATACCCAATCACTTGCAAGGAAAATTTAAAAAACTGAATTTTTGCAAGCACATGATTGGATGCTGCAAGTCAGCAGAGCTTCCCTTCACTTACTAAGCCCTGGAGCAAATGCACTTGCAAATTCAAAATACTAACATTGACGTACAAAGCTGTTCATAACACTGCCCCAAACTACATCACCGACCTGATATCCATCTACCACCCAAAACGTACTCTCCGCTCCTCACAAGACCTCCTACTCTCTAGTTCCCTGGTCTCCTCCTCCCATGCCCATCTCCAGGACTTCTTCAGGGCTTCCCCCATCCTCTGGAACTCACTACCTCAATCCATCAGTCTGTCACCTACCCTCCTCACCTTTAGGCGCACCCTGAAAACACATCTCTTCAGAGAAGCCTACACCACCCTCATCTAACTGCTGATCTCCGCACTCCCCACCACTCCATCCCCTACAGCTATTTCCTCCTGTACCACTCTCCCCTCCCTCCTAGATTGTAAGCTCCAAGAAGCAGGGCACTCGAACCCCTCGTGTATTGTATTGTTACTGTACTGTCTCCCATTGTAATGTGCAGTGCTGAGCGAACTGTTGGCGCTATATAAATACTGTATAATAATAATAATAAGTGCATAGTCTATTTGCCTAATGCAGGCCATAGACGGTTCGAAAATCATCCGATTTTTCGACCGAAAAACAAATCGGCTGATTTTCGCACTGTTAGTGGGTTAATTGGGTCGGCCGTTTTTCGGGTTATTTGCACTTTGAGATTATCGGTCATGTTGGAAAATTCACAGCCGATTTGGACAGATTTTCTCGGCAATGATGGCTAAAATCAGCTGATCGTTTTAACAATAAAAAATCTGCGTGTGAGCCGTGACCTGCAAGGGACAGAAGTTATGGGGTGAACTTTATGATATAGTCGGCCGATTTTTTTAATCGTTGGTGGTAACGTCGGTGGAACAAACGATTTTTCTATGGCCTGCATAAATGAACCCGGAGATACAAAAAAAAAATACACCGATCACCTGCGTCTTGAACGTCTTTATTATAAATGACAACAAAAAACTAAACAAACACCACCACCTCTGTAGGATAAATGGGTTCTTCTACAATGAGGTACAGACTTCCCACGCAGGGCAGCAAGACTTGGCTCCACGTATACTGAGCAACCATTACAGACGGTGCCATCCTTGGCACGGAGCTTCCAAACAGAGAGGTGGACAGAAATAAAACACAGGGATACATTGCAGGACGGCCAACCGATTACACGTCAGCCTCTTCCCATAACAAACCACTTAGGGCCCAATTACATTTGTGCGGTGCATCGGGACAAACATTGACATGCGTGATGCCACGTGTTATCCTGTATTGCATCAAGGCCACCCGTTGAGAATAATGGGCTACCAAAACGCCAGAAAAATCGTACGGGTCACACAAATCTTATAGAAATGTGTTGTTTTAGTGTGCTGGACGGCTGCTTAAAATGAACGGCACAACATCACATCGATGAACGTAATGCATCCTAAGAGGAGCGTTTCCGCAATGCGTAGATCGGCATGGACACATGCCCTCCAGAAGAAAAGCCTCCACCTCCCCACCCATCCACAGTTCTCTACTGTCCAGCCAGAAATTGAAGATCCATTTATTTTTACGCAACTCCCATAACATGCGTTTAGGCATTGTGGTGCCATTCACTCTGAACATACTAAGGAAATTCACGTGTGTTGCAGCCCGCTAACACACCATAACGAGCTGCGGTATTAATTTTCAGGCTTGTCCAATCCTTGGGACATTTTGGTGTGTTAGCTGCCCATTAGTTTCAATGCAACGCATGTGCATTACTGCACTACTTGATTGTAAATGAGCCCCGAGTGATAAAAAACCGCAAATTCAAAGTGCAAAAAACATCATTAAAACGCTATAAACAAACAAAAAGTCGCCGTCTTTCTGATCCAAAAGACCTGTCCTTTGGAGGTTCAGCTGTACAAAGTAAATGTTCCCAGAAATAGGGATCATACGTGCTGGCGGGTTTGGCGCAAGGAAGGAACGTGCCCATGGCCAGCAGCCTGTCAATACCAGTGACAGGCTGTAACACGCAGCTGTTCTGAAGAGTACTCTCGCTTAAGGCGGTATGCATTCTAGAAAGTACACCTGGAATGCAGGAATTCCACATTTCCATGTCGCACCCCAGAACGCATGCGGTCCCAAATGCGAGTACTGCTCAGAACTGCTGCATATTCCAGCCTGTTCTTGATTTTGACAGGCTACTGGTAACAGGCTGTATACTGCATCTGTGCGTCGCTTGCACCCAAAAATGCCCATTTTTTTGGCACCAGCTGCACGCGAGAGCCCTTAGCCCTGGGTCGCACCAAATGCGGCTTTGAAATTGTGCTACTTCATGCGATTTCAAGGCCACCAATCAGTGCAATTTCATGTGCGGCTTACGGACATCAGTGCGACTTCATGTGCGGCTTACGGACATCTGTGACTTTATGTGCGGCTTACGGACATCAGTGCGACTTCATGTGCGGCTTACCGACATCTGTGCGACTTCATGTGCGGCTTACCGACATCAGTGCGACTTCATGTGCGACTTACCGACATCAGTGCGACTTCATGTGCGGCTTACCGACATCAGTGCGACTTCATGTGCGGCTTACCGACATCAGTGCGACTTCATGTGCGGCTTACCGACATCTGTGCGACTTCATGTGCGGCTTACCGACATCAGTGCGACTTCATGTGCGGCTTACCGACATCAGTGCGACTTCATGTGCGGCTTACCGACATCTGTGCGACTTCATGTGCGGCTTACTGACATCAGTGCAATTTCATGTGCGGCTTACCGACATCTGTGCGACTTCATGTGCGGCTTACTGACATCAGTGCGATTTCATGTGCGGCTTACCGACATCACTGCGACTTCATGTGCGGCTTACTGACATCAGTGCGACTTCATGTGCGGCTTACCGACATCTGTGCGACTTCATGTGCGGCTTACCGACATCAGTGCGACTTCATGTGCGGCTTACCGACATCAGTGCGACTTCATGTGCGGCTTACCGACATCAGTGCGACTTCATGTGCGGCTTACTGACATCAGTGCGACTTCATGTGTGGCTTACTGACATCTGTGCGACTTCATGCGCAGATGTCAATGCAAATCGCACATGAAATCACAAAAGATACTTCGGGAACCTTTTTCAAAGGCGGTGCAAGTCAGTCACTATAGTCGCGGTTCCACGCAACTTTGATCTGCCAACTGCGAACTGGGGGCTAAATGTTAAAAGCTGCCAACACAAAACCGACTTAAAATCTATCTCTAAGAGCTGTAAAAAGGAGCCTGTAAAAATTCCAAAGCGTAAAAAAAAATAAAAAAGGAAGGAAAAAGACTTCGAAAAATAAAAAGCGCATACTGCTGTTGTTTCGGTAACAATGCCGACTGAACAGCTAGTTTATGGAGTTCTGATTTGGAAGGTGCAAAACTGGGCAACTGTCAATGAATACCCATCACCCGCAGTACCAGGGGCGGACTGACAACTCATGGGGCCCCCGGGCAATAGGTGATCATGGGGCCCCTGTGTCCTTGCCCAAACTCAAAAAAGCCTATGAAAAAGGTACCAGGGGCATCTCATGGGGCCCCCTACTGACCCCGGGCCCTCGGGCAGTGCCTGAGTTTCCAAATGGTCAGTCCGCCCACGCGCAGTACTTATAACAAGTTGAAAACAAAAAGTGTTGCAATTTAAAAAAAAAAAAAAAGGAGACTGAGGCTTTACTAGTCAAACCATCAGACAACTGTCCGCACACTGCTTACGCTCAGCAAGTGTCAGAGGACTAGAATGTGGGAACTGCGTAAAATATTGGAAGGCAAGATATCTGCCTCTGTAACCATCAAAAGAAAAACAAATCCTCTATACCTGGGAGGGAGTCACTCTGCACAGGTGTTCAAAGCAGTGTATGACATGTGCAAAAACGGTTGCAATGTTTGGCGCGTGCAAAAACGGTTGCAATGTGTGGCACGTGCAAAAACGGTTGCAATGTATGGCACGTGCAAAAACGGTTGCAATGTATGGCGCTTGCAAAAACGGTTGCAATGTATGGCACGTGCAAAAACGGCTGCAATGTATGGCTGGTGCAAAAACGGTTGCAATGTATGGCTCGTGCAAAAACGGCTGCAATGTATGGCTCGTGCAAAAACGGTTGCAATGTATGGCGCGTGCAAAAACGGTTGCAATGTATGGCGCGTGCAAAAACGGTTGCAATGTATGGCGCGTGCAAAAACGGTTGCAATGTATGGCGCGTGCAAAAACGGTTGCAATGTATGGCGCGTGCAAAAACGGTTGCAATGTATGGCGCGTGCAAAAACAGTTGCAATGTATGGCAAGTACAAAAACGGTTGCAATGTTTGGCATGTACAAAAAAGATTGCAATGTATAGCAAGTACAAAAACGTTTCCAATGAATGGCAAGTACAAAAACAATTCCAATGTATGGCAAGTACAAAAACAATTCCAATGTATGGCAAGTACAAAAAACAATTCCAATGAATGGCAAGTACAAAAACAATTCCAATGAATGGCAAGTGCAAAAACAATTCCAATGAATGGCAAGTACAAAAACAATTCCAATGAATGGCAAGTGCAAAAACAATTCCAATGAATGGCAAGTACAAAAACGTTTCCAATGTATGGCAAGTACAAAAACAATTCCAATGTATGGCAAGTACAAAAAGTCACATGACTTCCACCATCATCTCCTGCCAGGTGTCTTCATCAACTGACTCCTGCCAAGAAGAATTTATAAGTGCTCAGTGTACCGTTCAGAGGGGCCTTATCCTTTAATCCGCATATTCTGATTGGTAACAGTTGGAATCCCGCCTCTTCTAGTTGCGCATGAGCGGACAGTGGCGACGCATTACCTGCACTGAGTGCTGCCAGTGCCAGCAGGAACGGCAGAAATACTTGAAGCAAACCTTAAAAGAGAAGGGGAAAATATTACACTTTTTTGCAACATTGTACATGTGTTCACTGGGCTGAGGGTCCTTTCACATGGGGAGGACGCCTTTAGCGGATCCGCTTGTTCAGCGGGGTATTTCTCTGCTGATCCCCGCTGAGCAAGTGGATGACAGGTGGTGCAGAGCGGACACAGAGCAGCTCGCTCTCCTCACTGGGCGGTTGGATGAAAACGTACCGCCTGTCCGTTTCCATCCGACCCAATCCCATGGATAGAAGGGGAACTGGATCCCCATCCGTCCCTGTTTTGTGGGTCGGATCGGATGTCGACAGGTGTTTACACCAGCCACTCCATAGAGGAGAATGGAGGTTCCGATCGGGTCCGTCTGAAAAAAACGGGCACGCAAACCCAATCGGAATGTCCATGTGAAAGAGTCCTATGTTATAACCAATATGTGATGCAAATAAATACATTTCTATAATAACAACGGATAAAATTCAAAACACTAACACTGATGTATAAATCCGTTCATAACTCTGCCCCAAATTACATCACCGATCTTGTCTCTAAATACCACCCAAACCGGACTCTCCGCTCCTCGCAAGACCTCCTACTCTCTAGCTCCCTTGTCTCCTCCTCCCATGCTCGTCTTCAGGATTTCTCAAGGGCTTCACCCATCTTCTGGAACTCCCTACCACAGGCTATCGCCTACTCTGCTCACCTTTAGGCGCACTCTGAAAACCCATCTCTTCAGGGAAGCCTACCCCGACTCCCAGCTAATACTGGAATCCACTACTCCTCCTACCACTCCATCCCCCACAGCTATTTACCTCTTGTACCACTATCCCCTCCCTCCTAGATTGTAAGCTCCCAGGATCAGGGACCTCGAATCCCTCTTGTATTGAATTGTATTGTTACTGTACCATCTCCCTCCATATTGTAAAGCGCTGAGCAAACTGTTGGCGCTATATATGTCCTGTATAATAATAATAAGTGTTCCAATAAAGACTGTTGCTGTTCATTAATAACCGCTTCCATCCGACCCGATCCGACGGATGGAAGGGGAATTGGATCTCCATCCGTTACTTTTTTGTGGATCGGATCGGATCGGATGTACACATGTCCGTTTACACCGACCACTCCGTAGAGGAGACTGGAGATTCCGATCGGGTCTGTCTGAACGTCCCTGTGAAAGAGTCCTATGTTACAACCAATATGTGATGTAAATAAATACGTTTCTATATTAGTGTTCCAATAAAGACTGTCGCTGTTCATTAATAACCTCTATCAGATCATCTGCATGTACTAATTATTATTATTACTTTTCTTTTACACAGAGCTGTATCCCCCAACCATCTAAAATAGTGCAATTACCCTTAACATACCAAAAAACATATGAACCAAAACTAAAAACAAAAGTCTTTCATAAACAATTCACCATTGCACTCTTAATCCGTATGTGGTGTTCTTTGTGCTCCATGCAAACAAACTTTGAATGCTCTCCCTGCACTCCCAAAGATGCTGATTGGATAAGCGAAACGCGTGGGAAGAACTTCCGGTGACATCACTTCTGGCCCGTAGAGCGTACACCGAGGCAGTGCTTCTGGGTCTGCATGCAATTGTATTCTGCAACTTTTTATCAAAAAAATATTGTACTGCACTATGGTGGTTCCCCTTTCTGTTGCCCTATTATCTGTTTGAGAGGTACAAGTTCCCAGGAGGACCGTATTCACAGACAGTGGTGGAAACGTGTTGGAGGATAACAGTGGAGGAGTACAGATGTGGAAAGTTATTACACTCACATAAGTTGTATTACAATCGCATTTAGACCCCGAAACACCGCCTCGGCATGCGCTCCACGGACCATAGATGACATCACCGGATGTTCCGTCCAACACATTTCGCTTATCCATTCAGCGTCTTTAAGAGCTCCTGCAGATGGTCGTACAGGAAGAGCACTCAAAGTTTGTTTGCATGAAGTACAGAGAAGAACACATATGGATTAAGAGTGCACTGGTGAACTGTTTATGAAAGAAGGATCACTGAACGTTGGACGAGACTTTTGTTTTGTTTTAGTTCATATGTATTTTGGTATGTTAAGGGTAATTACACTACTTTTGCAACACTGACCACTTTCAAAACCAAAGCACTGGACTGAAGATAAAAACTACGAGGTGCGACAATTTAATTCCCAGAATGCTCGCGGCGTAGTGAGTCACACAGTCATCTGCACTTGAGCGTGTTGTGACATCCTCTAACTTGCACACGTCTGGGTCGCAGACCAGTTGACTCATGGAGAAGAAATAACACGTGTGGGCTGCACTGTTTTGCGTGAAAACCAGCAAATGTGGGAGTGAAACTTTAGCTTTGTCACAACGGGCTTATAGTGAACATTCCATGAAGAAATCGAGTGTTTTTGAATGGCAAAGGTGGTTTAAGGAAGGGCTGGGAAGATGTCCATGATGAAGCAACGGGCAACCAACTTTGTTGCTTGGAAGTTCTCACAAGTCAAATAAACTGGTGCTACACTAGTGTAGTGGCCAAAAAATACACAACCACATTGGAATCAACATAAAAGTCCTTCAAAGTCTCTTTAGAAGAAATATTATCTTGTGTACTGCTAGTGTGAAGATGCCACCCACCATCCGTGCTTCTGTGATTCATCTGTGTATAATGCCACCACCAGATGTACTCTCACCTGGATCCTCTGACCTCACATAACATGCTTGGTCAAAATGCCCTCTTCTGACCTCACATAACATGCTTGGTCAAAATGCCCTCTTCTGATATCATATAACATGCTTGGTCAAAATGCCCTCTTGTCCCTCTATGTGGACAATCCAGAGCAATCCAAATAATGGAAATCTTGTTATCCCAATCTTCCTCACAACAGCACTCTGCTCTTTCACTACTCCACTCAGCACCATGAAAAAAACACTATAGTAGTGCTTATCCTTTTATAAAATGTATTCATAAACTAGAAAAAAATTGCACTCATATTATACAGGTGCTAGATCGCACCAGATATATACAGCCCCATTATGCAATGTAGCAATCATGTGCAATATTATCACAATGCTTGTAAGGTTACTGCACTTCTGCATCAACTGAGCATCATGACAGTATCCAGGCCCTTCCCCGATGCGTTTCGTCACAGCTGTTCCAAGCCTTCTCCACACCTTTTTCTTCCCGTCATTCTGGTACAGATTAATCTTAGTTTCATCCGCCCAAAGAATGCTTTTCCAGAACTGGTCTGGCTTTTTTAGATGTTTTTTGGCAAAGTCTATTCTGGCTTTTCTATTCTTCAAGCTTATGAATGGTTTGCACCTTGTGGTGAACCCTCTATATTTGCTCTCATGAAGTCTCCTCTTGATTGTAGACTTTTACAATGATACGCCCACCTCCTGGAGAGTGTCCTTCACTTGTCTGAATGTTGTGAATGGGTTTTTCTTTACCATAGAGATGATCCTGCGATCATCCACCACTGTTGTCTTCCATGGACGTCCATGCCTTTTTATGTTGCTGAGCTCACCAGTGCGTTCTTCTTTCCTCACAATGTACCAAACTATTGATTTGTCCACTCCTAATGTTGCTGCGATCTCTCTGATGGATTTGTTTTGTTTTTGTGAAGCCTTACAATGAACTGTTTCACTTGCATGGACAGCTCCTTAGAACTCATGATGGAGGTTCACAGCAACAGATTCCAAATGCAAATACTACACTTAGAATCAACACCAGACCGTTTAACTGCTTATGTGATGAAGAAATAATGAAGGAGTAGCCCACACCTGGCCATGAAACAGCTTTTGTTTCAACTGTCCAATTACTTTTGGTCCCTTGAAAAAGATGGGATGGCTATTCTTAAGAGCTGTAATTCCTAAACCCTTCCTCCAATTTGGATGCACATACCCTCAAATTAAACTGAGAGTGTGCACTTTCAGCCCATATCCATTATATAACTATAGCTTGAATATGTGTTGGTAAATACCTGAAAAAATCTAAATTTGTGCCTGTGCCCAAATATATATAGACCTAACTGTATATATATAAAGGTATCTGAAAGGTCAGTTTGTCACGTCACCTCTAACTACCTACTCACGAGTCAAACATCTCCAAGTGTCATGATAATAATTTACAATTACCTTATCTCTGCAGAAAAATGGACCTGGCTGTATACTGCAAACCTGGCACATAGAGTTCTCCAGGTACGGGTCAATCTGAATCTGGAAAGAGAAAAACAACTGCCACTGAACCGCACTGCACCCTATACAATTCCATGAAATACAAAGCAACACAACTCCAGATCATGGGTCTCCAAACTACGGCCCTCCAGGTGTTCAGGAACTGCAAGTCCCATGAGGCCTTGCAAGACTCTGACCGCCGCAGGCAAGACTCCCAGAGGCAGAGGCATGATGGGACTTGTAGTACTTCAACAGCTGGAGAGCCATAGTTTGGAGACCCCTGCCTAGATCAATTCCAGAATCATCACCTGCTCCTCTGACCACCTCAATCTTTTCTGGCAGGCTGAAGACAGCTATGGTCTCATTTATAGGCATCCTTACAATATTTAAAGGTTTGCTGCACTGTTTCATACCTTGGGAAATGTCCTTTCCACCTGGCTGTTGCCCCATTCACTTGAATAGGTTGCGTTGAACACGACAGGGGGTGTAATTGCTGCTGCGGCTGCGAAGCAAAGCGTCGCGGTCATGGCATGTGTACACCCCCAGCTGCTGCCTCTGCAGCAAGAGTGCTTGAAGGGAAGTAAAAATATTGCTCAACCACAGGGTTTTGCCACCCCAAAATCACAAGCGTAAAAGAGCCCTTAAAGTGGATTTATACCTCCACCAATTTTTCATTTTAACTGGGCCCTAGGAGCTTTTAGCCATAGTGTGCACATCATATTAGCACGTTATGTTAGACTTACCTGGAAAGCAATCCCGTTCCTGCCTGCCTACTCTTCCTTCCAGGTGCCGACTCTTTGGTACCTTGGTTGGCCCAGTCCAGGATGACACCACTCATGCACACAGGGGCCAAGCGCAAAGCAGTGCCGTAAACGGACACTGAGCTGCGCATGCGTGCCCCAGTGTACACCAACACTGACAGGCAGAAAGAAGGGTTTATGACAGAAGATGCCAATAGGGTCTCTTCTGTCATAAAAATCCTACCTGTCAGCTTTTTCTTTTAAATTCTTTAACCTCTTCCCATCCGGCCCATGTATATAAAAGGCCGGATGGGAGCAGTGCAGGAGCGGGTTGCTGTTCATAAACGGCACCCGCATTTTCAGCCTGTGCGCGCTCCCTGAGAGCGCGCGGCACCACAATCTGCTGCCCGCTGTGTCCTCGCTGTGTGTGTGTGTGTGTGGTTTCGATCATGTGATCACTGATCACATGAATAGTAGTAAGCAAGATGTACTTCTGACATCATTGCTTACTACCTGTGAAATCTGTGAATGATTACAGAGGTCACATGGTACAGGGCCATTCACAACAGCCTTGTACCATGTGACAAGCTGTGACCAATCACAGCTCACAGTATTTCTCAATGGCTGCAGGAATGCAGCCAGAGAGAATGAGAAATGATTGCTTTTACAGCCTTTATGGCTGTAAAGCAATCAGTGTAAAAAAAAAATCTTCATCACCCCCCACAAGTAGTAGTGTCACTATGGTGCCACTGTACTGCTAGGGTGACAGTATGGTAACAAAAAACAAATAATATAAAAAAAATAAAAAAACCATTTTGAAAAATTATAATTTTTGGTTATAAACTAATTTGGGTAATTTTTTTTTACTAAAAAGATAACTGAATACATTTTGTACAAGATTTATGATGAAATATTATTTGCAAAATTGTATAAGAAAAACAATTTTTTCAAAATTTTTGGATTTTTTTCATTTATATAGCAAAAAAAATAAAAATCCCAGTGGTGAATAAATACCACCAAAATAAAGTTTTATCGGTCTCAAAAAAATGCTAAAAAATTCAATGGGTACAGTGTTGCATGACCGCGCAATTGTCATTCAAAGTGTGATGGCGCTGAAAGCTGAAAATTGGCCTGGACAGGAAGGGGGTGAAAGTGTCCGGACTGGAAGGGGGGGAAAGTGTCCGGACTGGAAGGGGGGGAAAGTGTCCGGACTGGAAGGGGGGGAAAGTGTCCGGACTGGAGGGGGTGAAAGTGTCCGGACTGGAAGGGGGTAAAAGTGTCCGGACTGGAAGGGGGTGAAAGTGTCCAGACTGGAAGGGGGTGAAAGTGTCCGGACTGGAAGGGGAGTGGAAAGTGTCCGGACAGGAAGGGGGGTGAAAGTGTCCGGACTGGAAGGGGGTAAAAGTGTCCGGACTGGAAGGGGGTGAAAGTGTCCAGACTGGAAGGGGGTGAAAGTGTCCGGACTGGAAGGGGAGTGGAAAGTGTCCGGACAGGAAGGGGGTGAAAGTGTCCGGACTGGAAGGGGGTGAAAGTGTCCGGACTGGAAGGGGGTGAAAGTGTCCGGATTGGAAGGGGGTAAAAGTGTCCGGACTGGAAGGGGGGGAAAGTGTCCGGACTGGAAGGGGGGGAAAGTGTCCGGACTGGAAGGGGGGAAAGTGTCCGGACTGGAAGGGGGTGAAAGTGTCCGGACTGGAAGGGGGTGAAAGTGTCCGGACTGGAAGGGGGGGAAAGTGTCCGGACTGGAAGGGGGGGAAAGTGTCCGGACTGGAAGGGGGGGAAAGTGTCCGGACTGGAAGGGGGGGAAAGTGTCCGGACTGGAAGGGGGGGAAAGTGTCTGGACTGGAAGGGGGGGAAAGTGTCTGGACTGGAAGGGGGGGAAAGTGTCCGGACTGGAAGGGGGGGAAAGTGTCCGGACTGGAAGGGGGGGAAAGCGTCCGGACTGGAAGGGGGGGGGGGGGAAGCGTCCGGACTGGAAGGGGGAGAAAGTGTCCGGACTGGAAGGGGGTGGAAAGTGTCTGGACTGGAAGGGGGTGTGAAAGCGTCCAGACTGGAAGGGGGGGAAAGCGTCCGGACTGGAAGGGGGGGAAAGCGTCCGGGCTGGAAGGGGGGGGGGAGCGTCCGGACTGGAAGGGGGGGGGGGAAGCGTCCGGACTGGAAGGGGGTGAAAGTGTCCGGACTGGAAGGGGGTGAAAGTGTCCGGACTGGAAGGGGGTGAAAGTGTCCAGACTGGAAGGGGGAAAAGCGTCCGGACTGGAAGGGGGTGAAAGTGTCCAGACTGGAAGGGGGGAAAAGCGTCCGGACTGGAAGGGGGAAAAAGCGTCCGTACTGGAAGGGGGGTGAAAGCGTCCGTACTGGAAGGGGGGAAAGTGCCCGGACTGGAAGGGAGTGAAAGTGTCCGGACTGGAAGGGAGTGAAAAAAAAAAAAAAAAAAAGCAAATTCATGTTTAGGTCATCTTCACACGATGGGACATTCGAAGCAAACACAGCTAGAATTTAATAGGTGAAGATTTTGAACTCTTTTATGGCACAAGATTGCTGCTTCTCTGAAAAGCGATCCATGCTTTGGATTGCTTTTCAGAGGCACATTATTACAGTGATTAGTGTATATTTTTAGCACTGATCAGTGTATTGGTGTCACTGGTTCCCACAAAGTGTCAGTTAGTGTAAAAATATCCACTGCAATATCAGTCCCACTGTAGGTCGCTGATCTACGCTATCACTAGTATATACAAAAAACAATTCCTGTATATGTACTATAGTTTGTAGACGCTATAACTTTTGCGCAAACTAATCAATATACAATTATTGGGATTTTTTAACCAAAAATATGAAGCAGAATACATTTTGGCCTAAATTTATAAAGAAATTAGATTTTTAATTTTTTTTTTATTGGATGTTTTATAACACAAAATAAAAAAAAATACTGTTTTTTGGGGGTTTTCTTCAAAATTGTATTCTTTTTGTTTATAGCGCAAAAAAGTAAAAACCGCAACGGCAATCAAATACCACCAAAAGAAAGCTCTATTTGTGGGGAAAAAAGGAAGTAATTTTCATTTGGGTGTGCTGCGTTGCATGACCGCGCAATTGTCAGTTAAAGTAACGCGGCACTGTATTGCAAAAGATGGCCTGGTCAGGAAGGGGGGGGTAAATCCTCTGGAGGGCGAGGGGTTAAGTTAGTCTGGCCACTGAAATGCATTAATGCTCAAGCACTAAAAGTGCCTAGCGCTAATGCAACTTACTGAGTGTGGTTTTAAAACCTCACATATACCCTGTGAAGGGACTGACCTCAGGTGATACACAGAGATGAAACAAATCCTACATAAGTTGTACCTGTTTATCTATAGCCGTCTGTCCACTACAACCTTTCAAAGTGCAGAATTTACACAGCATTTCTCAGCTCTAGAAGGCAGGGGGGCGGGGAACTAAAGTTAAGCCAGTGAGGAGAGCTCTGAGAGCTGATTGGAGAGAAGAGACACACCCCCCTTCACACCACTCACCGGAAACACCCTGAAGCTGTCAATCACTGGCTGTGCCCTCCCCGTCACCATTCTTCTCTTGGTGTCAGGAAAGCTTGTTAGAAGTGACTCATGTTTATAGCAGAGGAAAGAGGTAGTGGACAGAATTGACACTTAGTGCTCTGGACTGAGACAATTACACACTATAGAGGGATATGCTTTGTTCATATTTCACGCCTGAGGTTTACAAGCACTTTAAAACCAGCAAGTATAAGCAGCTTCAAAGCATTTGGCTTGGATGAGAGTCTACCACACCTACCTTCTTGATGAATTTTGAAGTTCTTACTTCCACAAAACCCGCACTCACCGCCTTAAGGTAACTGTGCTGGTTGTTGAAAATGACGCGTCCAGAACCTGTGCAAAATGAATGTAATAAACACACATCACACAAATAAAGATAAGAAAGTTCAACCCCAGCCCGAATCTGGATATAGTTTTCAGTACAATTAGGGATGAACGGGCGGACTGACAACTCATGGGGCCCCTGGGCAATAGGGGATCTTGGGGCCCCTGTGTCCTTGCCCAAACTAAAAAAAGCCTATTAAAAAGGTACCAGGGGCATCTCATGGGGCCCCCTACTGACCCCGGCCCTTGGGCAGTGCCCGAGTTTCCAAATGGTCAGTCCGTCCCTGGGGATGAACGCACGTCAATGGTGTGACCTGGGAGGAACAGTGCCAATGTCCTGAACCCGGTGCATTGCACTCTTTATTGAAATGTCAGATGACAAATGACATGACAAATGACAGAAGTTCATTATTACCTATACTGTTGAAGAGATCACCTCCCACCCAGATGACAACTATAAGGGTGCAGGTATCACTGGGGTGGGTGGCACAGTGGCTTAATGGTTAGCACATCTGCCTTGCAGTAAATGGGTCATGGGTTCAATTCCCAACTATGGCACCTCCTGCATGGAGTTTGCATGTTCTCCCTGTGCTTGTGTGGGTTTCCTCCAGGTACTCTGGTTTCCTCCCACACTCCAAAGACATGCTGGTAGGTTAATTGGCTCCTATCTAAATTGTCCTAGTTTCATCCCTGGCCATGTGGGATCTCCTGCATGGTGGGGGTTGGGGAAAGACCTGGTAATCTACCCTGTAAAATAATTGCTAAAATAATTCATGGAAAAAGTTGCTTCTGAGTCCATGCAATTGCCAAGGGTTGGATACAACTGAATGGATAGATAGATCACTGGGGTAGAAAGACAGAAGAATAATACCTGAAATGTTGTTACCTCTCCCCACTCAAATATGCTTTTGCTGCTATATGTCCCCATCTCCCTGCTGGGAATATTCCCTTCGCTATGGAATATTTTTCTGCTGGGGACAGAGGTTCTGACCTTCACCTAATGTATTCAAAAGTGGAAACAAAAATTTTGGCCAGAATTGGCTTTAACTTAAATAAAAAAACTGCTGCTCACCAATCGGGTACTTGTACCTATCAGTATCAATGCCGGCGTAGACCACTCCACCGAATAGGTCATTCATTATGTAGGCGAGGCCTTGAGCAATTAGCATGCCATGCAATGCACCAACAAACACCGTTCTGGTGCGATCCACGTGATGTGCTGAACTGAGTACAAAGCTGCTGTCTGCCAGCACCCAAGGAATGATTTGTATCTACAGGTCACAGAAAGACAGTCTGAACAAAACTGGTACTCGTTAAAAAGGCAAAAAATCATTTTTACGGTTCTAGAATTCATCATGTGCCACTAGAAAACATACTGTAGTTTCCTGGTACTTCTGCTATACTGAGTTGTCAGGGTTACCTTCCTGTTGCGAAATCTTTGAGTTGACATTCTGTAGTAGCGTTCACTTGGCTCATCATATCTTTGCAAATTCAAGGTGCAGGAATGGAGTAGTGCTCGCACCGACCTCTCCGACTCAAAAACTAGATATGCATGGCCTGAAATGTTGAGAAATACAAATCTACAACACCACATCATTCACAGTTTTTGAGGGCCCTTGGGGCTCCCATAAACAGTAGTCTGTATCTTTATTCAATCTATGACTGTCTTCTGAAACATGTCTCCTCTGTATGGATGTTTCTAAAGCATGTCATCAGTCGATGGATGTCTTCTAAAGTACTGTGCGTCCCCAGTCTAGGGATGTCTTGTAAAGTACTGTATGTCCCCAGTCTATGGATGTCTTGTAAAACGTCTCCAGTCTATAGATGTCTTCTAACGCATGTCCCCAGTCTATAAATTTCTTCTAAAGTATTTCCCAAGTCTATGGATGTCTTCTAAAGCAAATCCCCAGTCTATAGAGGTCTTCTAAAGCATGTCCTTATTCTATGGATGTCTTCTAAAGCAAGTCCCCAGTCTATGGATGTCTTCTAATGCATGCCTTCAGTTTATGGATTTCTTCTTAAATATGTCCCCATTTTATTGATGTCTTCTAAGGCATGTCCCCAGTCTATCGATAACTTCCAAAGCAAGTCCCAAGTCTATGGATTCCTTCTAAAGTTTGTGTCCAGTCTATGGATGTCTTCTAAAGCAAGTCCCCAGCTGAGGGATGTCTTCTAAAGCATGTCTCTAGTCTAGGATTTCTTCTGAAACATGTCCCCATTCTACTGGTGTCTTCTAAAGCATGTCCCCAGTCTACGAATGTCTTCTAAAGTATGTCCCTAGTCTATGGATGTCTTCTAAAGAATGTCCCCGGTTTATGGATGTCTTCTAAAGCAAGTCCCCATTCGATGTGTGTCTTCTAAAGCATCTTCCCAATCTACTGATGTCTTCTAAAGCATGTCTCTTATCTATGGATGTATTTTAAAGCCTAGCCTCAGTCTATGGATGTATTTAAAGCATGTCCTCAGTCTATGGATGTTTTTTAAAGCATGTCCCCAATCTATGGATGTCTTTTAAAGCTTAGCCTCAGTCTATGGATGTATTTAAAGCATGTACTCAGTCTATGCATGTCTTTTAAAGCATGTCCCCAATATATGGATGCCTTCTAAAGCAAGTCCCCAGCCTATGGATGTCTTCTAGAGCAAATCCCCAGTGTATGGCTGTCTTCTAAAGCATGTCTCCAGTCTATGGATGTCTTCTAAAGCAAGTCCCCAGTGTATGGATGTCTTCTAAAGCAAGTCCCCAGTCTATGGTTGTCTTCTAAAGCAAGTCCCCAGTCTATGGATGTCTTCTGAAGCAAGTCCCCATTCTATGGATGTCTTCTAATGCAAGTCTCCAGTCTATGGATGTCTTCTAAATCAAGTCCCCAGTCTATGGATGTCTTCTGAAGCAAGTCCCCAGTCTATGGATGTCTTCTAAAGCAAGTCTCCAGTCTATGGATGTCTTCTAAATCAAGTCCCCAGTGTATGGATGTCTTCTAAATCAAGTCCCCAGTCTATGGAGGTCTTCTAAAGCAAGTCCCCAGTCTATGGATGTTTTCTAAAGCAAGTCTCCAGTCTATGGATGTCTTCTAAAGCAAGTCTCCAGTCTATGGATGTCTTCTAAAGGAAGTCCCACTCAGTGGATGTCTTCTAAAGCTTCTTCTCAGTCTACTGATATCTTCTAAGGCAAACCCCTCATCTATGGATGTCTTTTAAAGCCTAGCCCCAGTCTATGGATGTATTTAAAGCATGTCCTCAGTCTATGGATGTCTTTAAAAGCATGTCTCCAATCTATGGGTGTCTTCTAAAGCCTGGCTGCAGTCTATGGATGTCTTCTAAAGCATGTCCCAAGTCTATCAATCTATGGATGTCTTCTAAAGCATGTTCATATTCTATGGATGTCTTCTGAAGCATGTCCCTGGTCTATGGATGTCTTAAACATGTCCCCAGTCTAGGATTTCTTCTGAAACATGTCGCCAGTGTATGGATGTTTTCTAAAGCATGTCCCCACTATCTCAACCCTCTAACTGCCACTTTCTGCTAGATAGCTTGGTCTGTTTGGAAGCAGACAAATAAAAGGCTTAGCAGTTGGATCAACAGGTGAAAATAAAACTCAAAAATAAAACAAAAAAGAAAACAAATGCAACCACCACATCTAAAGATTGGTAAGCTGTAATATAATAGATTTTTGTTTTGTGGTTTAATATAGCTTTAGGTACATTTAGAACCTATGCTCTGGAGCAGAGCAAACTATGTGGCTTGCCATGGATGCTGATGGGAGGGCATTAGAGCTAAAAATTCATAACAGCAGTATTTACAATCTGCAGAAAAACTGATGTACGGTGGGGAAAATAATTATTTGACCCCCTGCAGATTTTGTACGTTTGCCCACTTACAAAGAAATTAAGGGTAAATAATTTTTATCAAAGGTGTATCTTAAATGATAAATGAGTAAAATAAGTATCTGATCCCCTGCAGATTTTGTACGTTTGCCCACTTACAAAGAAATTAAGGGTAAATAATTTTTATCAAAGGTGTATCTTAAATGATAGATGAGTAAAATAAGTATTTGATCCCCTGCCAAGCAACAATAATTTTGGCTCCCACAGACTGGTTATGTGCTCATGTAGTACACAGATTAGTCCTGTCAATTTAAGAAGGTGCTCCTAACGACAACTCATTATGTGTAAAAAAGACACCTGTCCACAGAATCTCTTGTAGACCTACATAAGGCTGGAATGGACTACAAGACCATCAGCAAGAAGCTTGGTAAGAAGGAGACAACTGTTGGAGCGATTATTTGCAAATGGAAGAAATACTAAATAACCATCAATCGCCCTCGGTCTGGAACTCCATGCAAGATTTTGCCTCATGGGGTAAGGATGATCATGAGAAAAGTGAGGGATCAGCGCAGAACTACATGAGAGAAGCTTGTGATTGATCTCAAGGCAGTTGGGACCACAGTCACCAAACAAACCATTGGTAACACAATATGCCGCCATGGATTGAAATCCTGCAGCTTCCACAAGGTCCCTCTCCTCAAGAAGGCACATGTACAGGCCCGTCTGAAGTTTGCCAATGAACATCTAAATGATACAAAGAAGGATTGGGAGAAGGAGCTGTGGTCAGATGAGACTGAAATTTGAGCTCTCTGGCATTAACTTGACTCGCCGTGTTTGGAGGAAGAAAAATGCTGACTATGACCTTAAGAACACCATTCCTACAGTCAAGCATGGAGGTGGAAACATTATAGTTTGGGATTGTTTTTCTGCTAAAAGTATGGGCCTACTTTGCCGCATTGAGGGGCCATTAGACAGGGCCATGTATTGTAAAACTTGGATGAGAACCTTCTTCCCTTAGCCAGGACACTGAAGATGGCTCATGGATGGGTCTTCCAGCATGTCAATGACTCAAAACATATCACCAAGGCAACAAAGGAGTGGCTCAAGAAGAAGCACATTAAGGTCATGGAGTAGCCTAGCCAGTCTCAAGACCTTAGTCCTCTAGAAAATGTATGGAGGGAGCTGAGACTTCAAGTTGCCAAGCAATAGCCAAGAAACTTTAAGGATTTAGAGATCTGTAAAGAAGAGTGGACCAAAATCCCTCCTGAGATGTGTGCAAACCTGATAACCAACTACAAGAAACATCTTACCACTGTGCTTGCCAACAAGGGTTCCTCCACCAAGTACCAAGTCATGTTTTGCTTGGGGATCAAATACTTATTTTACTCACTTAACTAAAACTCCATTTATAACATTTGTATCGTGTTTTCTTCTGGATTTTTGGTTGATATTCTGTCTCTATCATTTAAAATACACCTATGCTAAAAATTACAGACCCTTCATTTCTTTGTAAGTGGGCAAACTTACAAAATCTGCAGGGGATCAAATAATTATTTTCCCCACTGTATATGCCCTAAGAAGACAGCCAGTTTTTGCAGCTTATAGCAAAATCAGAAAGCATACCCAGTTCACACCATTATAAAAAGATTGTATACATATAATTCTGGCTTCCATATTAAACCTATACGTATAGCCCATTTCTAGCTTATCCAGCCTTTGCAGGAGGTCAAGGTTACTTTCAAATCATTTAAACGTGCCATAGGATTCAAATTCTTACCCATGTGGCCATGCCATGGATGGTCAACCAACAGGTACAGTTGTGTTCAAAATAATAGCAATGTGTTGAAAAAAGTGAATAAAGCTCAAAATCCTTCTAAGAGCTTTTATTTCCATCCACACAAATGCATTGGGAACACGACACATTCTATTCCAAATCAAAACATGAAGAAAAATATATCAGATTTGTGTTGTTCCTTTAAAACAAATTGAAAAAAGTGAATATTAAACGGTTCAAAAAAATAGCAGTGTTTGTATTCTTCTTTACAAACTCAAACATTCACTATATAAACTGAAAAATGTTTGAAGATTTTGCTTTCCTTTGAATGACTTCATGAATATTTGGTTGTAGTCGCACTGTTTCTGAGAACTGCTGTACATCTGTGTTGCATGGAGTCACCCAACTTCTGGCCCCTGTGATCAGGTATTCCAGCCCAGGATGATTGGACGACATTCCACAGTTCTTCTCTATTTCTTGGTTTTGCCTCAGAAACGGCATTTTTGATGTCACCCCCAAGTTTTCTATTGGATTAAGATCCGGGGATTGGGCTGGCCACGTCCATCTTTTTGGTCTGGAACCAAGATGTTGCACGTTTACTGGTGTGTTTGGGGTCGTTGTCTTGTTGGAACACCCATTTCAAGGGCATTTCCCCTTCAGCATAAGGCAGCATGACCTCTTCAAGTATTCTGATGTATTCAAACTGATCCATGATCCCTGGTATGCGATAAATAGGCCCAACACCGTAGTATGAGAAACATCCCCATATCATGATGCTTGCACCACCATGCTTCACTGTCTTCACAGTGTACTGTGGCTTGAATTCAGTGTTTGGGGGTCGTCTGACAAACTGTCTCCGGCCACTAGACCCAAAAAGAACAATCTTACTTTCATCAGCCCACAAAATGTTGCGCCATTTTGGCAGATTGTAACCTCTTCAGCACATGTCTTTTTCCCCAACAGTGGGACTTTGCGGGGGCTTCTTGCAGATAGCTTGGCTTCACATAGGCGTCTTCTAATTGTAACAGTCCTCACAGGGAACGTCACACCTTCTTTCATCTTCCTGGAGCTGATTGTTGGCTGAGTCCGCGCCATTTTGGCTATTCTTCTATCCATTCCAATGGTAGTTTTTCACTTTCTTCCACGTCTTGCAGGTTTTGGTTGCCATTTTAAAGCATTTGCGATCATTTTAGCTGAGCAGCCTATCATTTTCTGCACTTCTTTATATGTTTTCCCCTCTCCAATCAACTTTTTAATCAAGGTACGCTGTTCTTCTGAACAATGTCTGGAACGACCCATTTTCCTCAGAATTTCAGAGAGAAATGCACTGTAACCAGCATGTACAACATTTGCTGCCTTCCTTCCTTAAATAAGGGCAATAATTGCCACCTGTTTGAATGAATGACCTCACTAATAGAACTCCACACTGCTATTATTTTGAACATGCCCCTTTCAATTAGTGATTCAATTACACAGAATCAGCAGCATGCATGTCATGACTGTTGGGTCTGTTGGATTTCTATTACTCTACTACACCTGCTAGTAAATTATTTGCCATGTAGAAATATAATTTCTACCAAAAACAGTGATTGATCAGGTTAGTGATGTCTGACTGCTATTATTTTGAACACAACTCTAAATTCAATCATATACTCATTTGATATTAATAATATAGAATGACTAACTGATGTCCAGAGTCAGACAATTATATAGCTGCTTTTAATTGGTTAATATTGAAAACCTTGTAGTAATCCCATCACCACATCCTAGAAGTTCCAGAGGTGGTTCATTGTGCAGCACCACAAAGTGCTCATATAAAGTAAGGTCCTATCACTCTATCATTACCTTTAGGAATATTACCTGCAGGAGAAAAATCTTGATAATAATCCCGCTTACTAGGCCACTCCACACTCACAGCACCAAACACACTGAATGTTTTTACCAGGAATGCTGCAAAGCAAGAGAGGCAAAGTATGATACACAACAGAAAAAAATTAAAGGACAATATCTTCTATCTAGGCTTGAAAAAAGATTCACTAAACCCATGACCCTGCATTCACTGTATCTGGTCTTCCACAGTACACACAACATGAAAATGAAATTATTTTAGTAAATATAAACTGCAAAATACTTTTTCTTGTCAGCAGTATATAGCAGCCTTCCATTAGTGTCCGACCAAGCACTGGTTAATCCTGTAGGAGGAGTTTTCATTCTCCTCTGACTGTCCTATGAGGCTGCATGACCCCGGACCCTCTGTCTAGACCATGGGTGTCAAAATGGTGGCCCTCCAACTGATGCCAAACAATGCATCTGCAAACTGCATCCGATTGAACAAGTCCCATGAGGCATTGCAAGATTAACAGTTAAAAGCATGACTCCCAAAGGCAGAGGCATGATGGGACTTGTAGTTTCGCAACAGGTGAAGGGCCTTCAGTTTGACACCCCTGATCTAGACAGTGCTGATTAGCCCTGTTCCAATCACATGCACTCCCCCCCCCAAAAAAAAACTCTTTTTAGCAATACACACCAAACAGGGCATGTGCAGACTTGCCACTGCTGCTCTGTCCGATGGCAGAAAGATTGGGGACAGTAAAAGAAGGGGAGGGACAGAGAAGACAGGATCAAACAACCTTTTTATACAATAGGGAAGATTAATCCTTTAAGTTCCACAGTGAGTATAACAATGCTTGCTTTACTGCAGATACAGACAGATTTTACTGTTGTGGGATTAGTATCATTTTAACATCTCAGGAAAGGCTTTTTACAATGTTACACAAAATTGGCAACCACCCTAATGTATAAATAGCTTTTAGAGTTAAAGTCGTTAGGCAGCCTTCCAGCTGCTCCCACCAACAGCTGGGTAACGAGACTTCTCGGACTCCTAGTTGTTCTCATCAGCAGCAGGTTAACGAGACTTCTCAGACTCCTAGTTGTTCTCATCAGCAGCAGGTTAACGAGACTTCTCAGACTCCTAGTTGTTCTCATCAGCAGCAGGTTAACAAATCTTCCCAGACTCCTAGTTGTTCTAATCAGCAGCAGGGTAACGAGACTTCTCAGACTCCTAGTTGTTCCAATCAGCAGCGGGGTAACGAGTCTTCCCAGACTCCAAGTTATTCCCATTGGTAGCGGGGTAACAAGACTTCCCAGACTCCAAGTTGTTCCCATCAGCAGCGGGTAATAAGACTTCTCAGACTCTTAGTTGTTCCCATCAGCAGCGGGTAATAAGTCTTCCCTGACTCCAAGTTGTTCCCATCAGCAGCGGGATAACGAGACTTCTCAGACTCCTAATGGATCCCTTCAACAGCGAGGTAACGAGACTTCTCAGACTCCTAATGGATCCCATCAACAGCGAGGTAACGAGACTTCTCAGACTCCTAATGGATCCCATCAACAGTGAGGTAACGAGACTTCTCAGACTCCTAATGGATCCCATCAACAGCGAGGTAACGAGACATCTCAGACTCTTAGTTGTTCCCATCAGCAGTGGGTAATAAGTCTTCCCTGACTCCAAGTTGTTCCCATCAGAAGCGGGTAATAAGTCTTCCCTGACTCCAAGTTGTTCCCATCAGAAGCGGGATAACGAGACTTCTCAGACTCCTAATGGATCCCATCAACAGCGAGGTAACGAGACTTCTCAGACTCCTAATGGATCCCATCAACAGCGAGGTAACGAGACTTCTCAGACTCTTAGTTGTTCCCATCAGCAGCATGTAATAAGTCTTCCCTGACTCCAAGTTGTTCCCATCAGCAATGGGTAATAAGTCTTCCCTGACTCCAAGTTGTTCCCATCAGCAGTGGGATAACGAGACTTCTCAGACTCCTAATGGATCCCATCAACAGCGAGGTAACGAGACATCTCAGACTCTTAGTTGTTCCCATCAGCAGTGGGTAATAAGTCTTCCCTGACTCCAAGTTGTTCCCATCAGAAGCGGGTAATAAGTCTTCCCTGACTCCAAGTTGTTCCCATCAGCAGTGGGGTAACAAGACTTCTCAGACTCTTAGTTGTTCCCATCAGCAGTGGGGTAACAAATATTTCCAGACCCCTAATTGCTCCCATCAGTACAGCGTGGTAATGAGTCTTCCTATACTCCTAGTTGCTCCCATCAGCAGCAGTGTAACAATTCTTTCCAGACTCCAAGTTGCTCCCATCAGCAGCGGGGTATCGAGACTTCTAAGACTCTTAGTTGTCCCCATCAGCAGCAGGGTAATAAGTCTTCCCAGAACCCTAGTTGTTCCCATCAGCACCGGGGTAACAAGACTTTTCAGACTATTAGTTGTTCCCTTCAGCAGCGGGGTAATAAGTCTTCCCAAACTCCAAGTTGCTCCCATCAGCAGCGGGGAAACAAGTCTTCCCAGACTCCAAGTTGCTCCCATCAGTAGCGGGGTAACAAGACTTCACAGACTCCAAATTGTTCCTATCAGCAGCGGAGTAACAAGACTTCACAGACTCTTAGTTCTTCCCATCAGCAGCGGGATTACGAGACTTACCAGACTCCTGGTTACTCACAGTTTTGTTTAGCTTGCAGGAATCCATGTGGGACACACCGAATGCCTTCAGCTGCCATTGTGCTTTGATGGGCTTCTGATGTGTCCCTGTACCCATAAAGCAGAACTTCACCTAAAAGGCGACGTTCCAGTTTAAGTGCCCCTACCCTCCCCACACACACACACTATATTTGGCATGTATTTTTTGGGGGGGGGGATCAGGTACCTAGTTTTGACAGATGTCTGTCCCCACTTCCACTCAGATTGCCTAGATGATCCAAGTGGAATTTCTCCCCCCTCCCCGCAGTCTTCAGGGACACATCACAGGTACCAGAAGTCTGCGGGACCATTCACTAAGCGCACATGCAATGGACAGCCAGCTAGGAAGCCGAAAGCAGCATAGTCGGCTGCCCACAGTTAGGATGCCAGCGCCAAGAGCCCGAAGGCTAGTGAAGAACTAGCCTGGGTGAGGACAGCCCAAGATCCCTGGACAGGTAAGTGTTCTTTTATTAAAAGTCAGCAGCTACAGGATTTGTAGCTAATGACTTTTCATTGTGTTTGTAGAGTGAACAACCGTTTTAAGAAGGAAAAGGCTTCCTCCAGGCATATCTGTTCTTCATTTATCCATTGCTATATATTCTCCAGCATGGAGACTCTCATAGTTTAGATTTAGGACCACACCATACAGAGTGGCCATGACGAGGCAGTGCAGCTTCCACATAAAATGTTGTGCAACTAAAACCTCTGTTTTTAATGCTCTGATTTTGTTAACTCCATTTAGGTTAGGCAGGCCATACATTGTTTACTTTCTTCAGGTTGCGAAGGTGGATGAATCTCCTGCTGTGCCTATTGTATTTTGCCGGCTGTCCTCGCCACCTGTCAAAATACCCAAATAGTGGCTGCATCCGATTGGACCAGTTTCTGTCCAGTGTCCTTTGATTTTTCAACAGAGGGATGCGTGGCGGAAAAGGCAGACAGGTGTACAGCGCATGATCAACTTAACTAGTTGCCGACCACAAATAGCTGATTGACGGCTGCACTGCGGCAGGCCAGTTCTAAGTGGACGTCATATGACGTCCTCCCAAAACGCGCTCTCCTGCGCGCCCCCGGGGCACAGCTGATCACGTCATGTGGTAAAAGGCCAATCACAGCAGTCTTTTACCACGTGCTCAGCCATGTCCAATAACACGCTGATCACCGGCAAATGCAATTGCCAGTTCTCGGCTGCATTTTCCTCATGCTGTCAGAGCGTGAGGAAAGTACTGCCGAGAACCGGCAGTTGTCAGAGCAGGGATCGGCACCGATCATCAGGGCACTGATGATCAGTGCCCTGATGATCAGTGCCCAGCAGTGTCACCCACCAGTTCCGCTCACAAGTGCCCAGCAGTACCACCTACAAGTGACCAGCAGTACCACCTACAAGTGACCAGCAGTGCCGCCCACCTGTGCCCAGCAGTGCCGCCCACCTGTGCCCAGCAGTGCCACCCACCTGTGCCCAGCAGTGCCACCCACCTGTGCCCAGCAGTGCCCACCTGTGCCACCCACCTGTGCCCAGCAGTGCCACCCACCTGCGCGGCCAGTCAGTGCTGCTCAGCAGTGCCACTAGTCAGTGCGGCCCAGCAGTGCCACCAGTCAGTGCCACCTATCAGTACCCATCATCAGTGCCAGCTCATCAGTGCCACCTATCAGTGCCCATCAGTGCTGACTATCAGTGCAGCCTCATCAACGCACATGAGTGAAGGAGAAAAATTACTTGTTTGCAAAATTTTATAATAGAAACAAAGAAACTTTTTTTTCAAAATGTTTGCTCTTTTTTGCTTATACGCAAAAAGTAAAACGCCCAGCGGCGATTAAATTCCACCAAAAGAAAGCTCTATTTGTGAGAAAAAAATGATAAAAAGTTCAAATGGGTATAATGTTGCATGACCGCACAACTGTCATTCAAAGTGCAACAGCACTGAAAGCTGAAAATTGGCCTGGTAAGGAAGGGGGTATAAGTGCCCAGTAGGCAAGTGGTTAAGCAATGAAAACAAATTTATGGAAGGCCAAAATTCCAATTCCAACCTCGAGTTTATAATGTTTGTACAGCCAAAACTTTCTTCATTTTAGATTGATTAGGGAAGGATTTAAGCCCCTGTGTCCTGTAGGGGATATTTCCCTTCACTAGGGGTCCTGAAAATGCAAAAGGAAGTGCACCTTGCCTCCTTTTCTGGTAACAACTAACATTTTGGATTTCCCATCATTTTCTGTCTCGGTGACAATGGTTACCAGCACAAATAGGGAAGTCAATTCTTCCCAGCACAGGCCATCCGTAGCCAGCAATAAAAAAAAAATAAAGGATCTAATCCTTCGACGCTCCATCCAAAACTGGAAGAGTTTGGCTATACATACACTTTAACACTACAAATAAGCACAAGAAGTCTGGAGACACTAAAAGTCTGTATAATCCAACTGTAAGATCATCGGGTCTACTCACACTCTGTCATATCGAAGGGAAGGCCACCAATAAACACCTTGCAGGAGTAAACCTGATTCTTGTTGCGAGGAGGTAGGTGCCCGGACCATGTGTAAGCTGGTTCATTTACAGCTATAAATGGAATAATTAGTAATGACAACATTAACTTCTGCTTTAAACTTTTTTGTGGGACATTTATATGACAAAATTCAATATCAAGCTCCCGAGTTTTACATACATGTATGGATAAACATTCATTTCCTAAGAACAGCAAGAGTGCTAACCATCCTATAGCTATACTTCTATTATTCGGCCATACTGCTAATCTCAGGGGGGGACATCCATTCACCCTCACCACTCTCCATGGCTCTCCTCCATCCCCTCATTTAATCCACGTCTTTGTTATTCGTTACATAGTTAGTCTGGCTGAAAAAAGACAAAAGTCCATCCAGTTCAACCATAAAAAAAAAAGTTATAATCCTACACCCACAGCTGATTCAGAGGAAGGCAAAAAAAAACCAGCAAAGCACGATCCAATTTGCTCCTGCAGGGGAAAAAATTCCTTCCTGATCCCCCGAGAGGCAATCAGATATTCCCTGGATCGAAGTTACGTATAAATGTTAGTATCCAGTTATATTCTGTGTATCCAAGAGAGAATAAAGGACTTTTTTGAAGCAATCCACTGAGCTGGCCAGAACCAACTCTTGAGGGAGTCTATTCCACATTTTCACAGCTCTCACTGTGAAGAAACCTTTCTGTGTTTGGAGATTACATTTCTTTTCCTCCAGACGTGCTCGTGCTTACCTGAAATCTAGTCCTTCTGGCTGCTCCGTCCAAAGATTACAAGTTAAAACCCCAAAATGTTGTTTTACTTTATAACAACCCAATATACACTCACAAAAATAACACAAACTGTGCAAACTATAAAAGTTTAATTGTGTAGGAAAAAACCTCTGGAAAGCAGGCAGACAACTTTGTATAATTGACATTATAGATATCCCATTCTCCTCCAGATCTTCAGTTCCTTGCTATCAGTTCATAAAGATCCAAGTTCTCAAATAAGTAGGGAAGAGCGAGAGGGCCCTGGTTGACTATGTAGATTAGAGAGTCCCTCTAGCAAGGAGGGACCCTGAGGGATGATATGTACCATGAGGGGCTGTTCCTGTCCCAGGGACAAGGGCCTTCCTAAGGAAGTGAGTGGAAATCTGGACAAGGTCCAAATCAAGAACTCAAGCTAATATAACGACATGAGCAAGGGGTCTCAGGGTGGGAAGAACCCATATTGGGGAAGGTGCAGGGTTTTGTCCACTAGCACTGGTGGAGGGGATAAGAAGGAGCAACCGATGGGGGAAACACAGGTCAAGAATAATCTGTGGGTTGAAAAAGGGGCTCTCTGTACATTAGTGTCAGAGAAACCACGCAAGGGCCCACTCAGATACACAATCATCCCTCAACTTGTGTGGGCGCACCTTTATGCACACAGATTGGTAGACCTCTGTGTTCACACTTACTGGCTGAGCAGAAGTCCAGCTCAAAGGGCTTGGGAGCACCTAATGCAGAAGCAGACATGGTAGAAAGGCAAGATTCATACAACTTCTCCCTAGACTTTCTAACATGGGTTCTGAGCATGACATTAGTGATTACATTGTCCAGAGCAGGGTTGAAGTGACAACACTCCTTGAAGGCTAACCAAGGCTTTTTGGATATGTCAACTTCCGAGCAGTGCAACCACAGAGGCTTGCACATCTGTATGGCCATCATACTGATGCAGAACATATGTTTAGAAGCTTGAAATAAGCCACTGTAACTGAAGCATAAGGCTCCAGACATCTGCTACAATTCCCACCCCATTGAAGAGAGACACATTAGGAGGGAACTAACTCCCCTGGCAGTTTAGGGTCACTGCCCACATAGAACAGAGGGCAGAACAAGCAAAACTTGGATCTGAGAAGGGATTCTAACTGTATGTCTGTAGAATCTTTAACCACTTCCCATCCATAGGATGTACCTGAACCTTCTTGGGTGGGAAGGGTGATAGCTGTAGTGATCATGGATATATCATATTTAGTGCCAGCAATTCTGTTTCCTTGTAAAAGTAATCGAGTGGCTAAAGAGCCGCTGGATGACTTTTTCAGGCAGTGGAAGGGATCTCCACCCCCTGCCTTTATTGGGCTCTCTCGGGCCATTGGGGAGTTGGTAAGAATGCAACCGAAGGTTTCCTGTTTCCAAGGCATAGAGGGAGGAATGGATATCATTCCTCCCACTGTGTGGCGTCAGAAACTGGAAGCGACAAGAATTTAGTCACTTTCAGTTTCTGGCTCACGTAAACAAGCCAGTACTGGCTTGAACAAGCATAGGAATACACAGATCTTGGTGTGGTCTGATGCTTTGGAGGCCAGAGGAGAGCTATGGGGTCTATTAGACCCCAGATCTCTCCAAAAAGAGGATCCATCATGCTTTATTGCTATCACAAGGAATGTTTACATTCCTTGTGATCGCAATAAAAGTGATTAAAAAAATTAAAGTTACACTGTAAAAAAAAAAAAAAAAATAACATAAAAACTTTTTTTAAAGCTTCCCCGTCCCACCGTGCTGGCCCTCAAAGGTGAATGCATGCGTTGGTCCTGCACGCATATGTAAATGGAAATCGCACCAAACATGCGAGATACTGTCACAAACGTCAGAGCGAGAGCAATAATTCTAGCGCAAGATCTCCTGTGTAACTCTAAAAAGATAACCTGTAAAGGCTTTTAAGGTGCCGCCAATAGAGATCGCCTATAGAAATTTTTAGGTACCCTAGTTTGGTGCCATTCCACAAGCATATGCAATTTTAAAGTGTGACATGTTTGGTATCTACTCAGCGTGACATCATCTTTTTATATTCTGCCACAAAATGGGTATTATACTGTGTTTTTCGTGCACTAAAAGTCATTAAAGTGTTTTGTTTTTCACTAAATTTGCATTAAAAAAAAACCGCTGCAACAAATACTGTGTGACAGAAAAATGTGCTACATCCACCATTTTATTCTCTAGGGCCTCTGCTTAAATAATATATAATGTGTTTGGGGGTTTTAAGTCGTTTTCTAACAAAAAATTTATGTTTTTTACATGTACATGTCAGAATTGGCCTGGACTGGAAGTGGTTAAAGGTAAGCTCACCTGACTAGTGTTGTCCCTATTAACCTCCCTAGCGGTCTGATTATGTCCATATTTCTGTGCTCAAAGCGGTACATTGTTTTCAATGGAAATATGTTGTTTTTTTATTGTAGGCCTGTAATTCTTAGGAATAACTCACTGAAATCTGTACGAACAAGAGTCTAGTAAACATCCCGGGTATGATAAAATTTTAAACAAGAAATCATAAATTATAATTTAATAAATAATCATAAAAAAAAATAATAAAATAATAAATTTAATTCAATAATATAATCAAACCAAAACACTGAAATTTGAAATATAGCGCCAAGTTCGCACATCACCGAGCTCAGTCGCAGAATTGTTTTCAGTGTCTGATGATGAATTTTCCCCACGAATCATTATCACTCAATTCTGCAAGTGGTTCTGATTTACTATCGCTGTTCTCTAGCCGGTCTAAAACCGATTTTGACCTAAAGGGACGCTTTTTGGACGCCATGGACGTTTCTCAGTTTCCAGGCAGAAAGAACTAAAAATGCAGGCAGGGCGCCGGACAAAGCACTCGGGACAAAATGTATGTGAAATGGTTTAATACAGGAATGTTATACTATGAGATTTTAGTGTATTGAGTGAATGTAAAATTTTGACATTTTTGAAATTCCCGCCGGTTCCATCCCCCGTACGTCCCGACGCTCCCAGGGAACTGAACCCGAAAGACGGATGCCGGCATCGGCCAGAGGACATGGCCGGGGACGCTGCAGGGGGGACATCGCGGGAGCGCAGGACAAGGTAAGTGAAGAAGAGATCCCGGAGCAACACTGCAGTGTATTCCCAAGTGTAGCTCGGGGTTAATGCTTCTGGTACTGAAAGTTAACCCCGAGCTACACTCGGGGGAATACCTCCAGGGAGGTTAAGGTACACTGGTTGACCCATAGTTGAAATAGTCCACTGTTTAAAAGATGCCCTCTCAAATGTAGACATTTCCAGCACGTTCTCAGGTGGAGACCAAGGCCCCTCTGGGTGCTTCCAGTCCACATGGCGGAATTTCTCATATGGCGGGTGTCTTTGCAGAATAGCAGAAGGTCTTTGCAGCTTTAGGAGCATTAAAAGACCTGATGCTGAATACAGCAGGCTGATCATCCAAATGCAGAGTAGAACGCACTGCATCAATAGAGTCAGACATACTTCTGGACCTGGAAAGCACTCTGCAGCTACCTTTTACCAGTACATTTAGATCTGTAAAGCACCATAACACAAAGTCCAGTGCCTAAAAGTCACATTTCAGGCTATCCATGCCGATGAAGTGGGATCTGGGTATGGCCTCCAAAGCTATGCCAAGGAAACACCAATCAGTACAGCTGCTATGTAAAGACCAACACCAGCAGCAATGAGCCGAAGAATATTGATTGAACTTGATGGAAAATAAATCCACAAATAAAAAAGTAGCTTGAGAAACAGCGCCCCAATCCTTCAAAAGTAAAAGAGGTACAAAAGCAGTATAATGCAACTGTACATGGAGTCCTGTGCCCCTCAATGGAGACAAAAGAAAAAGTTTAGTTTGACCCTAAGAGAATATTCCCCTCAAAGTAAACAGGTAAGGCTAGGTAATTCAAGCTTGGAATTTGAAGTGCATAACCAGAGGCTATGTTGAGTGAAAACTGCATGTCAAAACCAGAAACACAAATAAACAGCTATAGATAGATATGTTTCATTTATTTCAGGTACTTATGTAGCACCATCAATTTACGCAGTGCTTTACATATATATTGTACATTCACATCAGTCCCTAACCCTCAAGGGGCGTGCAATCTAAGGTCCCTAACTTACATTCATACATACACATACTAGGGACAATGTAGACAGGAGCCAATTAACCTATCGGCATGTTTTTGGAGTGTGGAAGGAAACCCATGCAGGCACAGGGAGAACATGCAAACTCCAGGCAGGTAGTGCCGTGGTTGGGATTATGAAGCAACAGCCCTAGTTGGCTAACTTGTTCTGACCCTATGCTACCTCCTGTAACCCCCTACTGTCAGGCTACCCACGACATAAAGCAATCAACGGGATAGCAGGAAGGGCAGCTGTCTATCTCTGAACCTGTCTGTTTTGATTTCTTCTAGACATGTGCGGTTCATTTCGTTCTGAATCAAAATTTTCGTTATTTGAAGATTCAGAAGCATCCAAATGTTCAAATTACAGTAGTAAAAAATTAGAACGAATCCGAAATAAACTACATTTAGTCCAAAATAACAAATTATCCCTATATGATTCGAATTTGAAAACCAAATTGAATTCGAAAACTAACTGAAATGGAAACATACTGCTGATGATTGTTGATTTCCTTCAAAGACTGTATTAGTGTTAATATAGCCGTTTTCCGAAATTCGAAAAAAAAAACAGAATAGAAAATAAATGGATAGAATAAAATTTAAAATAAAGGACTATAATAGAAAAGAAGAAAAAAATAGAATATAATAAAATATAACTATTTTTTCTATTTTAAATATAATCATCTTCCGAAATTTGAACTTTGAATAGAATAGAACCAGGTATTCTTCACAATGAATGTGGATCGATTCTATATTTTCAATTCAAATACGATTCGTTTACTTCTAATCCATTGGAAAAATTTGATTCCGATCGAGAACAAATAAACAAAACAAAACTTAACAAAATGAATTTTGTTATAAATGCAATGAAATGAAATTAGTAACCTAATAATACGATCTGAAACTAAACTAATTTTTTTTTTGTTCTGCACATGTCTAATTTTGTCTTCCTTGCTCCTATGCAGAGTGAGTATAATGACATAGAAAGGATAAATTCCTCCTACATGTGTTTTAGCAGATATGGTGTCTGGAATTTTCAGCTCACCAGTATGTTTCAGCTTTTTAAAAACAGAGATTACAAGTGACAATGTCCATAAATGTCTTACCTGCAGCTTGTTTGTGCAGTCGAGCTTCCCTTTCAATGCTAAATGGATCATCTTCCGATTGTAAAAGGTTCCAGGACGGCCAGACAGTGGGGCCTGGCCATCTGTTGGACATCTCCATGTTGGAAGCAGCTGCTAAAGCATTGTCTAGAACCCAACTTGGGCCACTGCCCATCCTCAAAAGGTCTTGAGATACACCATCTCCTGAAGGCTGGGATGGTGGAGGGGGAGAAATCCGCACACCAGACTGGGGTAAACCACAAACATAACAAATTAGTCAACTTGATCAAATCAGATTGCAAGATAACAGTAACATTTATACAGGTAATTGAACAGCTAATACATCATAATATTTCCAAATCTTGCTTCTGGAAATTAAATTTTTTTTTTTATTCAGTGGAAGATGGGCAACCAATATGCACATAGCCCTTAGTAAAGCCAACATAGAAAAAAAAACTTACTAACAGTAAAAGAAAACTGCTGTTAACTTACAATCCTGTCAGCAAGATATTCTGAGCCAGAGCTGAACCCACTTGTCTCAGTACTTGAGGGGCTGCTGGAACGAGATTCTAAAATCAAACGGTTGTTTACTCGGGAGCTATACATCATCTCGGAAGGGCATTTCTCTACCATGTCTGAGCAAATGGGATCCAGTGGCCAGGAGCCAAGAAGTGGTGGATTTCCTGGAGCGTTATTGAGTAGGTCGAAAGCTAGAGGAAAAAAAGTTATAAAAAGTTGTGTTACGTCTTCATGTTAATGTTGTTTAACTAGACCATGCATGGGCAAAGAAGCTAAACCAGACAATCATGTTTTGGGATACATACTGTGATGCATCATTAGGATTACTAGCAGGAGAAAGAAGGAGGTCCTGATTCCTCTATAAGGATTTTTACTTATCACTAGAGGGGTCATCAGCAGGAGGGAGGTCCCGATACCCTTATACAGACCTTTATTTATCACCAGAGGGGTCACCAGCACGAGGTCCTTATTCTTCTATATAGACTTCTACTTTTCACTAAAGTTATCACCAGCAGGAGGTCCTGATTTCTCTAGATAGATCTTTACACTCGAGGGGTCACCAGGAGGTCCTGACTCCTCTATATAGACCTTTACTTTTCACTAGAGGGGTCACCAGCAGGAACAGGAAGAAGGAGGTCCTGACTCCTCTATATAGACCTCTACTTTTCACTAGAGGGGTCACAAACAGGAGGAATGAGGTCCTGATTTATCTATATAGATCTTTACTTTTCAATAGAGGGGTCACCAGCAGGAGGAAGGAGGTCCTGATTACTCCATGTAGACCTTTACTTTTCAATAGAGGGGTCACAAACAGGAGGAATGAGGTCCTGATTTATCTATATAGATCTTTACTTTTCAATAGAGGGGTCACCAACAGGAGGAAGGAGGTCCCGATTTCTCTATATAGACCTTTACTTTTACTTTCACCATTTCAGTCTTCCAATCAGCAGGCTTGCCCCTTTCCAGACAGCATCTCACCTGACTTGGTTACTGATGGTGTGCTGGACTGCTCAGTAGCATTAATGTCCAGAGTGCCCCACACTCTGTCCAAACCAGTCAGGCCGAGAGAATGCAGACCAAGGCATCTATTTGTGTCAGGAGGGCCACGAGGGAATGGATCTTGGGCTGTAGGGAAGAACATTCTGCTGGCTGTAGTTCCCTCTGTCTTTGGTAAGTCTGCTTAGAAAGAGAAAGAAAAAGATGATTCTATTGAACAACAGGTAGCGTCCACTGCTTAGTAAGAGAAACACCAATACCCACATCCTTGTATTCTGCCTTGCCTGTTATGTTGAGGGCTCATGAATCATTGTCTTAGCCCTGGTTCACATTGGGTCCGACTTTGAAATCATGCGACTTCATTTGAAGTTGCACATATTTCAACCGCATGTCAGTGAGATTTCAGGTGCGACTTGAATGACATCTGTGCGACCTCATGCACAGATGTCTTTGCAAGTCGAACTTGAAATTGCAAAAAAAAAAAAAGTTCAGGAACCTTTCTTTCAAATCAGTGCGGCACCACACAAAGTTGCAGTTGGATTTGAACTTGCCAATAGGGTGCGACTTTGAAACTGTCAAATCGCATGACAAGTCGCACCAGCGTGAACCAGGGCTTGGTGCCATACAATGTAGTACTGGGGATCGGAGAAGAAAAACTTTCATATAGATTTTCAGCTGATAAATATCCTGTGCACATAATCACAGATACTTTGCTTCAGCTGGCTCCGCCTTCATCCCTCTCACACAGACACAGGATCGGCCTTTATTAACCTTCTAGAGGGAATTATATTCAAGTCTCTGGAAAACCCTGCTAAAATCAATTTATTGGGGCCAGTGGGAAGAATACTCCTTACACTGGTGGTCAGTGGGAAGAGTATCCCTTAAATTGGTGGTCAATGGGAAGGATGTCCCCTACATTGGTGGTCAATGGGAAGGATGTCCCTTTCATTGGTGGTCAATGGGAAGGATGTCCCTTACATTGGTGGTCAGTGAGAAGAATGCTCCTTACATTGGGGGTCAGTGGGAAGAATGTCCCTTACATTGGTGGTCAATGGGAAGGATGTCCCTTACATTGGTGGTCAATGGGAAGGATGTCCCTTACATTGGTGGTGAGAAAAATGTCCCTTACATTGGTGGTCAGTGGGAAGAATGCCCCTTACATTGGTCCTCAATGGGAAGGATGTCCCTTACATTGGTGGTCAATGAGAGGGATGTCCCTTACATTGGTGGTCAGTGTGAAGAATGCCCCTTACGTTGGTAGTTGGTGGGAAGAATGCCCCTTACATTTATGGTTGGTGGGAAGAATATCCATTACATTGGCTGGTTGGTGGGAAGAATGCCCCTTACATTGATGGTTGGTGGGAAGAATACCCATTACATTGGCTGGTTGGTGGGAAGAATGCCCCTTACATAGGTGGTTGGTGGGAAGAATACCCATTACATTGGCTGGTTGGTGGGAAGAATGCCCCTTACATTGGAGGTTGGTGGGAAGAATGCCCCTTACATTGGTGGTTGGTGAGGAGAGTATCCCTTACATTGGTGGTCAGTGAGAAGAGTATCCCTTACATTGGTGGTTAATGGGAAGGATGTCCCTTTTGGTGGTCCGTGGGAAGCATGTCCCTTACATTGGTGGTCAGTGAGAAGAGTATCCCTTACATTGGTGGTCAATGGGAAGAATGCCCCTTACATTAGTGGTCAGTGAGAAGAATACCCATTACACTGGATGGTTGGTGGGAAGAATGCACCTTACATTGGTGGTTGGTGAGAAGAGTTTCTCTTACATTGGTGGTCAATGGGAAGAATGCCCCTTACATTGGTGATCAGTGGGAAGAATGTCCCTTACATTGGTGGTCAGTGAGAAGAGTATCCCTTACATTGGTGGTTAATGGGAAGGATGTCCCTTACATTGGTAGCTGTGGGAAGAATGTCCCTTACATTGGTGGTCAGTGAGAAGAGTAATGCTTACATTATTATTATTATTACATCGAGTTTATATAGCGCCAAAGGGTTTGCTCAGCGCTGTACAATGGGGGGGGGGACAATACATGGCACAGTACAACAATAACAAACAACGTACGAGGGGTAAGAGGGCCCTACTCTTTCCAGCTTACAATCTAGGAATATCATAGGAGTATCCCTTACATTGGTGGTCAATGGGAAGAATGTCCCCTACATTGGTGGTCAGTGAGAAGAGTAACCCTTACATTGGTGGTCAATGGGAAGAATGTCCCTTACATTAGTGGTCAGTGGGAATAATGCTGTCGGAACTTTAGCTCCGAGATGGTCAGGTCTCATGCACATTGTATATGAATTATGAATCATGTGAATTATGAATCATGTTAATCATGTGAATCATGTGAATTATGAATCATTGTACTGCAGTTCAACTCTATTGAATCTTTTGATTCATTTTTATCCAAACGTATTTTGTAATAAACATTTATTGTTTTATATTTTCGTATAATTTGTGTTTTTTTGCCATACAAAGTCCCAGGGGGATATCGCTCTATTTTTTTTCTTGGTGTTCATGCATGGGATGTGGCAAAAACATCATTAATGGTTAGACATTTTACCAAATTTTCCATTTTTGCATTCTTAGCTCTGAGAAAATAATCAGTATTCAATTTATGAAAACAGGCGGGGATCCGACATATTTTGGAGGTCCCACCGAGATCTGCCTACATTTGAAACAAATAGAAGAATATAATTGTGCAAGTAAGTATATATATTTTATCATACAATACGAATGATAATACAATTGACATAATATTTCTGTCAAATAATAATAACACCATATACAATGTAAAGTTTATTATGTACTCTCTTCTTCCAGAGGTTCATGGAAGGAAAAAAAATCATTGTGAACAGTTCTTTTGTCCTTTGTTCAATCTTGACATGGGCTCATCCATTTGTTTTATGATTTGGTATCATGTCTAGTCTTTATCTTGTAGCTGTCTGATCTCACCATACCCCCCCAGATTTATAACCTGGGAACATGACTTTGGAATGTTCTTAGAATTTGTACAGAACAAAATGGCTTCCAGCACGCCCATGTAGAGATGATAAGTGCAGGCCTTCCTGTTTCATTGTATGAGCCCAGAACAGTTTTGACAGCACCTTACATTGGTGGTCGATGGGAAGAATGCTCCTTACATTGGTGATCATTTATTTAGCAGTTTATATTTACTAAAATAATTGCATTTCTGTGTTGTGTGTACTGTGGAGACCAGATATAGTGAATGAAGGGCCGGGGAGACCAGATATAGTGAATGCAGGGTCCGGGGAGACCAGATATAGTGAATGCAGGGTCCTGGGAGACCAGATATAGTGAAAGCAGGGTCGGGGAGACCAGATATAGTGGATGCAGGGTCTGGGGAGTCCATGTTCTGTGTATTGTGGGAGATCAGATATAGTGAATACAGGGTCCGGGGAGAGCAGATATAGTGAATGTAGGGTCCAGGGGGGGCCAGATACAGTGAATACAGGGTCCAGGGAGAGCAGATATAGTGAATGCAGGGTCCTAGGAGACCAGATATAGTGAATACAGGGTCCGGGGAGAGCAGATATAGTGAATACAGGGTCCGGGGAGAGCAGATATAGTGAATGCGGGGTCTGGGGAGACCAGATATAGTGAATACAGGGTCCGGGGAGAGCAGATATAGTGAATGCAGAGTCTGGGGAGACCAGATATAGTGAATGCAGGGTCCTGGGAGACCAGATATAGTGAATGCGAGGTCCAGTGAGACCAGATATAGTGAATGCAGAGTCCAGGGAAAGCGGATACACTGAATGCAGGGTCCTGGCAGACCAGATATAGTGAATGCAGAGTCCTGGGAGACCAGATATAGTGAATGCAGGGTCCGGGGAGACCAGATATAGTGAATGCAGGGTCCGGGGAGACCAGATACAGTGAATGCAGGGTCCAGGGAGAGTGGATATAGTGAATGCGGGGTCCGGGGAGACCAGGTATACTGAATGCAGGGTCCGGGGAGACCAGATATAGTGAATGCAGGGACCGGGGAGACCAGATACAGTGAATGTAAGGTCCAGGGAGAGTGGATATAGTGAATGCAGGGTCCGGGGGAGACCAGGTATACTGAATGCAGGGTCCGGGAAGACCAGATCTAGTGAATGCAGGGTCCTGGGAGACCAGATCTAGTGAATGCAGGGTCCTGGGAGACCAGATCTAGTGAATGCAGGGTCCGGGGAGAGCGGATATAGTGAATGCAGGGTCCTGGGAGACCAGATATAGTGAATGCAGGGTCTGGGGAGACTAGATATAGTGAATGCAGGGTCTGGGGAGACCAGATATAGTGAATGCAGGGTCCGGGGAGACCAGATACAGTGAATGCAGGGTCCAGGGAGAGTGGATATAGTGAATGCGGGGTCCGGGGAGACCAGGTATACTGAATGCAGGGTCCAGGGAGACCAGATATAGTGAATGCAGGGTTCTGGGAGACTGGATATAGTGAATTCAGGGTCCTGGGAGACCAGATATAGTGAATGCAGGGTCTGGGGGGAAGTCCATGTTCTGTGTATTGTGGGAGATCAGATATAGTGAATGCAGGGTCCTGGGAGACCAGATATAGTGAATGTAGGGTCCGGGGAGAGCAGATATAGTGAATGCAGGGTCTGGGGAGACCAGATATAGTGAATGCAGGGTCGGGGGGGGAGACCAGATATAGTGAATGCAGGGTCCAGGGAGAGCGGATATAGTGAATGCAGGGTCCGGGGAGACCAGATATAGTGAATGCAGGGAAAAGGGAAAGCGGACATACTGAATGCAGGGTCCGGGGAGACCAGATATAGTGAATGCAGGGTCCAGGGAGAGCAAATATGGTGAGTGAGAGGTCCAGGGAGACCGGATATAGTGAATGCAGAGTCTGGAGAAACCAAATATAGTGAATGCAGGGTCCAGGGAAAGCGGATATACTGAATGCAGGGTCCTGGCAGACCAGATATAGTGAATGCAGGGTCCTGGGAGACCAGATATAGTGAATGCAGGGTCCGGGGAGACCAGATATAGTGAATGCAGGGTCCGGAGAGAGCGGATATAGTGAATGCAGGGTCCGGGGAGACCAGATATAGTGAATGCAGGGTTCGGGGAGACCAGATATAGTGAATGCAGGGTCCGGGGAGACCAGATATAGTGAATGCAAGGTCCAGGGAGAGTGGATATAGTGAATGCGGGGTCCGGGGAGACCAGATATAGTGAATGCGGGGACCGGGGAGACCAGAGATATAGTGAATGCGGGGACCGGGGAGACCAGATACAGTGAATGCAAGGTCCAGGAAGAGTGGATATAGTGAAATGCGGGGTCCGGGGAGACCAGGTATATGACTGAATGCGGGGTCCAGGGAGACCAGATATAGTGAATGAAGGGTCCTGGGAGACCAGATCTAGTGAATGCAGGGTCCTGGGAAACCAGATCTAGTGAATGCAGGGTCTGGGGAGACCAGATATAGTGAATGCAGGGTCCAGGGAGACCGGATATAGTGAATACAGGGTCCAGGGAGACAAGATATAGTGAATGCGGCGGGGGACCGGGGAGACCAGATACAGTGAATGCAAGGTCCAAGGAGAGTGGATATAGTGAATGCGGGGTCCGGGGGAGACCAGGTATACTGAATGCGGGGTCCAGGGAGACCAGATATAGTGAATGAAGGGTCCTGGGAGACCAGATCTAGTGAATGCAGGGTCCTGGGAAACCAGATCTAGTGAATGCAGGGTCTGGGGAGACCAGATATAGTGAATGCAGGGTCCAGGGAGACCGGATATAGTGAATGCAGGGTCCAGGGTTTAGTAGCACTTGAAGTCAATTGTCAATTTTAGTTAGTTGACTAAAATCCAATGGTTTTAGTTAAACTGGAATGCATTATTTAAGCATTTCCCCAGAATTTCCAAACTCATATACCCCCCAGTGTAAAAATCTAGTACCATGTCATTATTTATGGTATTAAGGTTTGAACAAGCACTGCAGGTGCATATTTGGCCATCTGTGATATATACCAATATATAAATAAAACCAAGTTTCATAAACAAAGATATTACTTTTTGACAAACAGAAGTGCAACTTTAGGGCTTCTTGCACACAGCACTTAATGTTTGGGCATGTTTTTTAAAAATGTAATTTCAGGCACTTGTTTTGTACATATGCGTGCGCAGATATGTACATATTTGCATGCATATGCGCATTTACGCGCACACTATTGCTTTAAAAAAGGATAGGATAGCCTGGATTCTTTCTTACACAGAATATAACTGGATATAACATTTATAGGTAAAGTTGATCCAGGGAATATCCGATTGCCTCTCGGGGATCAGGAAGGAATGTTTTTCCCTGCAGGAGCAAATTGGATCATGCTTTGCTGGGTTTTTTTTCCTTCCTCTGGATCGAGTGTGGGTGTAGGATAACTTTTTTTTTTTTCTATGGCTGAACTGGATGGACTTTTGTCTTTTTTCAGCCAGACTAACTATGTAACTATATTCTCAGGGAAAATTCATTAACACTTATGCGAGTACTTGCGCTCATTTGCACACGTGTGATATAAATTACTGACCAAAAATGCTGATTTTGCTGGGGGTTTTTTAATGAAGAATATGCATCGTTTTTTTATGCACCTGTGTGCAAGGCACCTTGTAAATAATGGGCTTATTCGCACACATTTGCACGCATGCGAAATAAATTACTGACCAAAAATGCAGATTTTCCCATTTTTACTGGGAAATAACCAGCGCTTATTTACGCACCTGTGTGCAAAGGCACATTGTAAATAATGGGCCTATTTGCGCACATCTGTACAACATAAATTACTGACCAAAAATGCAGTTTTCCTTTTTTTTTTTTTACTGAGGAATACACACCTGTTTGCAAAGGCACATTGTAAATAATGTGCTACATTTACCTCTACAAAAAAACACTGTATTGAGCTTTTTCAAGCTGCAGTGTGCAAGAGGCCTAATATATATATATATATATATATATATATATATATAAAATAATAAGAAAAAAAAAGCAAAAAACTGTAAACTCTATTAGCTATAATGCCAGGCTGCAAGTGGGGATGGGGAAGTAAATGGGAGAGAGGGAGTGCACAAGGCAGAGAACTGGAAAGACTGGGGAAGCTTTTATTTTACACAGTGCTTAGCTTAGCACTGCTACCTTTCTGGGAAGGTGAAAACTCACCAAGTCACATCAAGACAGACACAAATGTGACGCAAAAGTTCTTGCCGATAGAGTACTGGAGATTTTAGTCAACTAAAATGTAATGGAGATTCTAGTTTTTTAGTTGCCTAAAATACGACTAAAACTAAAATGGCATATAGTCAAAAGAGTATAATTAAAATAAATCGAAATTTGGCGCAAAAATTAACTGTGTGCACATGGATGTTTGCAGGCGCAAAGGAGCTCTAGCGTCAAACTCCCATACTCAAGAAATACATCACCCATGGGTAAATACCAATTCAAAAGAGCATCAGTGTTTCCACATGTACAACAGCCAACGACGCCCGTGCGACCGTGCAACCATGGCGACCTTCTGTTCCCAAAGCATGGGAAACCACCGGAAGGATTATGCTAGAGCTCCCTTGCGCCTACAAATGTCTGTGTCTTGAGAAGTCTGAACAACACAGTTGAAGTCTTCAAGTGATACGAACCCAATCAAGTATTCTGCACAATTCCAGCCAACCTAAATTGATCGATCAGTTTCTGAGGATTGATCTTTTTACATACTATTAATGAGGTCATTTTAAATCACATTCACATACACAGAAGTAAACCCTGCAGGGGGTCACATTTACCATTGGACTTGGGAGGGGTATGAACAGCAGCGGCGTCCAGAAATTCGCCCAACATGGTATGTATCAGCCTGATAATATCTGCATTGCTGCATGTAGAATGGGATGGAGTTTCAGACTGGCATCCCCAGCAATCCCTTGTTCTCCCAAAATCATCTTTCTGCAAAAAAAAAAAAAAATGCTTTAATTTTAATACACCAAACCATTTGGGAGATGAAGTCACAATGCACCTTCCCATTTCAACTCGTCTTGTATTCTTGTACCGGCATATGGCACCTTTTTAGAAATCCTTTCTACAATACTCACAAGCCGAAGAGATTTCTACAGTCTGAAAATAACCTGCAGTGGTCACCAGTGAAAAGTATACCTTATGGTGCCGCTCCAAGCTATGGATGGAAGGAAAAAGATCCCCCCACCGGCCAGTGAGAAGAGGGGAGCATGAGTCCGAGCGATTCCAGTGTCAGCCAATGTAAGTGAAGGGATGGACGCTGCTCAACTGACCCCAGGAGTCCAATGTTGAAGAATGACCTCAGCCGGCATCCAAACCTACGTTTGGCCAATCCCAGAGGGGAAGGTGTCAGTGCCTGGTCAATGGGCAAAGACACAGGGGGTCCATGATCCAATGTTGCCCGGGGGGGCCCTATGAGCCCCTATTGCCCGGAGGCCCCATGAGTTGTTAGTTCGCCCCTGCTCTGGGGGAGGTTTGCTCTCACGCCTGCAGCGCGCACATGGCTCCTGCGCGGATCCTCCCCTGCGGGAAGACACGTGACCACATTAACCCCTGCCTCCCTGCAGTAGCGCTCAGCGGTCTCTGCTCACACCAGGGTTGCGGCACCATGCCATCGCGGCCTACAGCCCGCCCGACCGGGGCTGCCCGAGTATTCTCCGCCACACGCCGCAGCAGATTGCGGGTCTCCGCTCTCTCATACCGGAATCGTTCTTCCCCCGGTAGGAGGGGGTCCAGCGGCAACTTACCGGGGGCCCAACATGGGACTCCTGTGCGGCGCTCCGCTCCCTGTCCATCCTTCTCCGCGGTACTGTGCAATAACAAGCAGCACGTGGCATGCAGCTCCCCAATGCCCCGCCCACCAAGAAGGATCCGCCTGGGATTGGGCTACACCCGCCCGCTGCCGCTGCAGGAATAACGTAAGGGGGAGGGGCTTACTGTGCTCACAGGTTCTGGGGAAGGGCCCATTGGAGGAATACTTATTGGGGCGGGGAGGAATGTTGGGGGAACACCTATTCGGGGCGGTGAGGAATGTTGGGGGAACACCTATTGGGGGCGGGGAGAAATGTTGGGGGAACACCTATTGTGGGCGGGAAGGAATGTTGGGAGAGCACCTGTTGGGGGAACACCTATTGGGGGCGGGGAGAAATGTTGGGGGAAATGTCTTGTGTGAGTGTGACCCACCCGGCCATCCATCACATGTGCAATGTGTCATTGAGTGATGACACCATCCCACAGCCTGCTCTCCTAGTGCCTGCTGATCTGTGTCAGTGTTGGTTGTGGTGTGTTATGTCGGATCTGTCACTGTGTGGGATCGCTCAGTTCAGCTACCTGCTGTCACAGCGGTTTATCTCCCCCATTGCCTGGGGAATTTCAGTCTGAGATCTGTCAGAGTGTAGATCAGTCATCCTCCACTAACTGCAACTGTCACCCTGCCACAGCCATCCACAGATACAGTCCGTCCGTGACACGGATTTTGTCTTTAATATTGGTGCTAGTGGCATTTTATGGCACTTATTTTTGCAAATTACAAGAAATTTAGCAGTTTCATGCTTTGTTGATTAATAATTTCTACTGTTTTGAAAATTTTTATTTTTTGGGGGGGGGGGGGGGGGGGCACAAGTAGTTGGTCTTGGCTGGAGCACAAGATAGTCTAGTACTGGCCCTGGCTGGGCCATTCTAGCAGCTTCATTTTTTTTCTTTGAAACCAATTGAGAGTTTCCTTGGCTTTTGTGTTTGGGATCATTGTCTTGCTCAAGTGTCCATCCTCGTTTCATCTTCATCATCCTGGCAGATGGCAGCAGATTTTTATCAAGAATGTCTCCATTTTTCCATTCATCCTTTCTTCAATGATGTGAAGTTTGTCAGTACTGTATGCTGAAAAACAGCCCCACACCATGATGTTCCCACCTCCATGCTTCACTGTTGGGATGGTGTTTTTAGGGTGATGTGCATTTGACCTCCAAACATGGGGGTGTGTTATGGCATCCAATTTTGGTCTCATCTGACCAGACTATATTCTCCCAGTATTTCACTGGCTTGTCTAAATGTTGTGCAGCAAACTCTAAATAAGCTTCAACATGCTTTAACTTCAGCAATGGAGTCTTGCTTAATGAGCGTGCATACAGGCCATGGCGGTGCATTACTTACAGTTTACTTTGAAACCATTATACCTGCTAATTCCAGGTCTTTCTGAAGCTCTCCACAAGTGGTCCTTGGCTCTTGGACAACTCTTCTGATAATTCTTTTCACTCAGAAATCTTACGAGGAGCACCTGGTCATGGCTGGTTTATGGTGAAATGATGTTCTTTCCACTTCTCCACTTCCGGATTATGGCCCCAACAGTGCTCACTGGAACATTCAGAAGTTTAGAAATCATTCTGTTACCAATGCCATTAGTATGTTTTGCAACAATAAGGTTGTGAAGGTCTTGAGGGAGCTCTTTGCTTTTACCCATTGTGAGATGTTTCTTGTGTGACACCTTAGTTATGAGACACCTTTTTATAGGCCATCAGTTGAGACTGAACCATGACCACATGAATCAACACTGGAGAAGGAAATGAGGAGGGGTGGACAGCAAGAAGCAGCACTGGAAGAGAAGAGAGGATGGACAGACAGCGAGGAGCAGCACTGGAGGAGGAGGAGAGGATGAGCACACAGCAAGGAGCAGCACTGGAAGAGAAGGAGAGGATGGGCAGACAGTGAGGAGCAGCAATGGAAGAGGAGAGGATGGAAGGACAGCGAGGAGAAGCATTGGAGGAGGAGGAGAGGATGGAAGGACACCGAGGAGAAGCATTGGAGGAGGAGGAGAGGATGGAAGGACAGTGAGGAGCAGCACTGGAAGAGGAAAGGATGGAAGGACAGCGAGGAGCTGCACTGGAAGAGGAGGAGAGGGTGCATAGACAGTGAGGAGCAGCACTGGAGAAGAAATTTAGGAGGAATAGACATTAAGGAGCAGCACTGCAGGAAGAAGAGAGGAGGAGTGGATAGCAAGGAGAAGCATTGGAGGAGGAGGTGAGGGGGCACACAGCAAGGAGAAGCAATGCAGGAGGGAGCAGAAATATTGCTGACACAAATATTGGCTTAGATATTGGTTGACAGCAATTTATCTTTAACAGATTCATGAAATAAGTTTGACATGTTTAAAGAAACAGCAAATTGGAAAAAATGACACTTGGCTCCATCTCAAAAAGAATTTGAAGCACACTTGGACCACACATATGCATCTGGTGCAACAGCATATGTCTATGTCAAGAAATGCATTAATGTAGCGTCATGTGCCACTTTTTTTGCTTGACACAAACCACGCCACATCATCATATGGTATTTGTGGGGCATTTCTTTCTGTGTGCCAACCTTTGTTAATTCCCTTCTCAGCATCTGTGCAGATTTCACTCTGGTGGTGGTGGTAGATCAGAGCGCTAGGAAGTATGATGTGACATAATATTCCCTATAGCCGGGAATTACAGTAGACTGTAGAACGTAGGAAGATCAAAAATGAAGGACCATCTGCTGCTCAAAAAAGCCAGATAAGAAATTGTAAAACGGAAATATCAAATCTACAGACTTCAATCTCTGCACAATGTCTAATTACCTCTGGGGATCAGGCAGGAATTTGAATTTCTAGTGGAGCAGACTGGACAATGTTTCAGAGTTTTGAGGCTATTTTCAGCTATTTACTTTTGTTTTTTGGTTGAGCTCGATGGACACGTGCCTTTTTTCCACCTAATTACCTGTGCAACATATATGTGGTGCCTCTCCAACCAGCTGACCTTTCTGTGTTGACCTTGACAGTAAACATCTGATACATCTATAGAGAGTTCTAGACAAAGAGAACCATGTGGTCTCCAGTGAAGTGGGGACTCTTGGAGGAGATGGTGGTGGGGAGATGTGACTGTAAGCTCTCCAGTATACCAGAGTCTATGGGTCTTCAACCTAACTTTTATTCCCCGTTCTTCCGATCTTTTGAGAATGGAGTCCTAAATATGAGAGCATGGCCTCCATCCATCAGTGGCGTGACTAGGCTGGCGAATTCATCTGCTAACTCCAGTGGTGTCAGAAAGGAAAGGATGTATTCGGTAATGGCTTCACTGGGGTTCTCTCCTGTCACCTTTCTCTGGATCCACAGAATGAGGTGAATCTGTCTTGATAGACATTGCTCAACCTGTTCCTGTGTGACTCAGCTGAAGGTTTCAGGCCTATACAGCACACTTGGTGACCATGGTGGCATACATGGTGACACTTGCAGCCAGGGGCGGACTGACAACTCATGGGGCCCCCGAGCAATAGGGGATCATGGGGCCCCTGTGTCCTTGCCCAAACTCAAAAAAGCCTATGAAAAAGGTACCAGGGGCATCTCATGGGGCCCCCTACTGACCCCGGGCCCTCGGGCAGTGCCCGAGTTTCCAAATGGTCAGTCCGCCCCTGCTTGCAGCACACATGGTGACACAAACAGAACAACTAGCACACCTTATGACTCACGACCAGGGGCGGACTGACAATTTAGAAACTCAGGCACTGCCCGAGGGCCCGGGGTTAGTAGGGGGCCCCATGAGATGCCCCTGGTACCTTTTTCATAGGCTTTTTTGAGTTTGGGCAAGGACACAAGGGCCCCATGATCCCCTATTGCCCGGGGGCCCCATGAGTTGTCAGTCCGCCCCTGCTCACGACTCACAGTACATGCATCATACATGGCAACCTATACAGCACACACCATTACACACACATGGGGGTTGATTTACTAAAGGCAAATAGACTGTGAACTTTGCAAGTGCAGTTGCTCCAGAGCTTAGTAAATGAGGTAAAGCTTCACTTTGCAAAGAAAACCCAGTCGCATTTTTGCTTGCACATGATTGGATGGTGGAAGTCAGCAGAGCTTCTGCACATTAACTGAACTCTGGAGCAACTGCATTTGCAAAGTTCTCAGTCTATTTGCTTTTAGTAAATCAACCCCAGTGATTCACACAGTACACTCAGCGACACATGTAGCACACATGGAGACACATGCAGCACAGACAGTGGTTATGGCACATACAGTGACAAAGGCAGCACACACAGTGACACGCGAAGCACACATGGTGACACACACAGTACTCGTAGCACGCTCGGTGACTGTCCATTGTGCCTTCTCTGCAAGACCTTCCCACCTGTTTTCTGCCATGGCACTTCTATACCAGATAACACAAGAGACAACACACACATATATTTCCTGTGAACCTTTTACTGAAAATCTTTCATAAAATAATAAATATAAAAATGTAAAACACACAAGAATGATAGACAGAGGAGATCATTTCGGACGCACAGCCCAGTGGTATACAAGCATGCTGGTTCATCTTCGCTTCCCCCACCCAGAAATGATCCCTTTCCAAATGCTCAGACAAGGCCCCTTTGGCTGCTCTGTTCTCTATTGTCATCATTCAGTAAACGTCTGTCCATCAGTCCTCAAGACTTGCTAACAGTGCATGTTTTCCTCATTACTGGATAGGAGCAGAGCTTTATTAAGTAATCCATAGACCTGAGATGACAGCTAACATGGTTGGACAGTTTGTCGCTCTCATGTCTTCATTGGTACTTCAAATGATCTTGGGGGGAGGTGGGAAAATCTTAAATGATTGCTATTGTTCTCTCTGAGACAAACGACAGTAGCAATGACTCCATCCTTCTAATCCCATTGGCATGTTAATGTAGGAAGTGACAACATTCCAAGAACAACAGTTATGGGGCCTATTCACATATGGTGGAAAGTCTGGACTTTTCCTGGATTTAAGCACTTTCTCTAGTTTACAATGCTGCTAGGAAGGTGGGGGGGGGTTACCTCTACTAATTTTCTCTGTGTTCTACAGAGATGACAATAACAAGCTCAATCTGATTGCAGATTGTACCCACTGAAACATTTCTCTAACTCTTTTCCTACAGAAGCTTCCAACCTCAAATGCGGGAAAAGACATCTTAACTGGCCAGTAGATCAAAGTCTCTGCATTACACCACTTCCAAACCATAGTGCCCCCATTACCGAGCAATCCCTCAACACCTGAAAATCTCAATCAACTCAACATTCCCCTATCATCCCTCAATCTCCCATCACTCCAGAATTCCCTAATGACCCTGCAATTCCCCATCACCCCACAACCCCCCATATGGCAAACACCCATCACTCCACAATCCCCCACTGACCCAGCAAACCCTCGTCATATTGCATTTCCCCTATCAGCCCACAATCCCCCATCATCCTGACATATCTCATCACCACACAACCCTCCATTACCCTAAAATCCCAAATTCATCCTGCATTCCCATGTCACCCCAACAATCCTCATACCCCACAATCCACAATCATCTGGCAACCCCTATCACCCCAATCATTCCTTATACCTCACACAATTTCCATTCATTCTGTAATCCTCCATCATCCCAATAATCCCCCATACCACAAAATGTTAATTTATCCTGCAATCCCCCCTCACCCCAACAATTCCCTATTACCACACAATCCCTCATCAACCAACATTACTTTGTCCAGCAACCTCCCACAATCCGCCAATGACCCAATAATTCCCTATCTTCTTGCAGTCACCCCACAATCTCTCAATATCCCCTATTTTCCATCACCCCACAATATGACATTAATCCTGAAATCACCTGGATAGTCCACCATCACCCTGCAGTCCCCATTATTCTGTATTCACCCCACCAACCCACCATCATACTGTAATCCCCCATGACCCAACAATTTGCCATCACCCAAATCCCCCCAACACCCCACAATCCCCCATCACACCATTCAGCTGATCTGCCATCTGTCATCCATGCAATGTATCGGAAACACATAAAAATAAGGAATATGTCAATAAGAATGTAGCAAATAATTTCACAGTAATAAAAGGCCTCCAGCATACAGAAAACCATCCCAACCGGGACACTCCATTTACATTCCATGTGTGGATTTCTCCTATCTTTCAGAATACTGACAGCTTGCAGGTTTGTTCCTAGTTAAGTTAAAATAATATCTCCAAATCTTCTCATAGAATACAATCAGGAGAATTGTACAATCAAATCTCATGGAACTGACTGGTTGGTGCAGAGTGAAAGCATTCTAAGGCTGATCATTGTCATTAGATGGCGGTCAAATGGACCTTCACCACTAAGAGATTTACAGTATAATGTGAAAGCTTGTGCCACAAATTCTCTCTGTAATGGATCAAACCAGACTATCCAGTCTTCCATAGATCACCATGTGCCAATCTATAGGTCTGTCTTTTATCTATCTATAACTGTTTTGTCTGATTGAAGCTCTTTAGTCAAAATTGTCCAACAAAGAAAATCTTCCATAAAATGTCTATAAATGTTCCTAATATAAAACATATCAGCTGAATCAAGGGCATTGTGCGATCCCGTCATATGAACTGATAAGGTATTAGGGCATCACATTCTGTATGAGGATCATCTGCCCAAAATAGAGAAAAACTCTGGAAAAACAAGAACAATAATGAGCTGGACAGACACGCCATATAGAATACGTCATTTCCCTAATCTATGACTGCCAGTGAGGAAACTGAATTACTTCTCCCTGTACACAATTATTGTAGCTGGGCATATTTTAGATCCCGGATGTGGTGTCTCACCATTCTTCCTATGAGCTGGCAATTTCCTACCAATGCTTTCTCAGCTTATTAGACACCTCCAGAACTCTCCATTAAAAGTTTGTAAATGTATCTGAAGTGCCCCCTAAGTTGATGCCTCCTAAGTGCTGAATATACCCCTCGGCACCTGCTACACTGCTGTGCCAAGGTGTGACTATTGTAGGTGAAGCAATGTAATTTCTCATTTACGACTCTAAGGTGGAGATAGAAAAAGTATTCATGGAACACCTCTCAAACACTTCATTAGGCTACGTTCACACCTATATCTTCCAGTGCATTGCATTAATTCACATGTTCCCTCAATGCACCACATTGGAGAGGCGTGAATAGGACCTTAATAAACTTCTATCCCACAAAACAATTTCAGTGAGAGGGTCTGTTGGACTTTACAAAAAGCTTAGATTAGTCACTATGAATTGGACATTTTTATCTGCATTTATCATGTCTTCAGACATAAAGCCCATACACTTCCTCTAGGGTCTTGTATCACTTCCTGTAGGTTCTTGGACCCTAATGTTGTGAATAAATGCTGTTTATACACACTGAGCTATAATAATGTTCATCTGTACAAGGCATATGTTCTGCCATCTACCAGGACTCTATAGGTCACATAATAGGGTATATGTGATAGCCAATGGTCATTCACCTACTACACATTGGCGCTGTCCATCCTGCTCAATAAACAACCAAAAGAGAATGAGACCAATGAAAAGTTCTGTGTTAATGGTACAGTAGAACCTAAATACTGTATCCTCCCCATGGGAGAGGTTCCTTCCCGGCTTTTTGCTCCCACTGTAGACACAGCAGCTTGGGCTCATTCAGTGTGAAATTTGCATATCCTCTCAGGTGGTCCTTCAGGCTCTTCTTCTTGTCCCAATAGGAGTCCCCATCTGACTTTTATACATTGGACAATCCCTCATATGACATTTCTGAGGACCCAGGAGCTGGAAGAAGAGCGGTTTACAATACTGACTTCTCCCCTTTATGTAAACAGGAAATTAAGATTAAATATACTGCCACTTCTGTAAGAAGTTATAAATATCTGCATACATCGAGATAGAAATATCTGAATCGTCTAGTACAAATTCCTCCCCAAAGAAAGTCTTCCATTTGGTAACATATGGCTGCCTTGTGGATATTGGAGTTGTCCTCCGTCTCCAGTGAGCGTTGCCTCTATGGCGGCCAGCTCCACGACTGGCAACAGCAAAGATGGTAGTGTCCTCCCGAGCCTGCCACAGCCTCCGCCACTTGATATGCTGTGAAGGATCCGTCTGGTCAGGAAGTAAAGATCTCTGCTGAGTTCAGTAATCACTCACCACAGCCAGCTCCGAAGTTAGCTCTACCGTGATGTTCTTATATAAATGTTCATAGCTAATATGCGGAGAGTACTTCAGGTTGTTCAGGCCGTCAATGTTCTGACGCTCTTTGGATCTTCTCAGTAAAGTGTAGCTGAAGGGAGAAGACACATCTTATGAGACAGAGCGCACAATGAAGAATTCAGCAATGGCAGACATACAGTGACTTACTGATCCTCCATACACATCCACGGAGATTAATGGGAATCATTTAGGTTGATGCAGGGGCGGAATGACAAACTCATGGGGCCCCTGGGCAATAGGGGATCATGGGGCCCCTGTGTCCTTGCCCAAACTCAAAAAAGCCTATGAAAAAGGTACCAGGGGCATCTCATGGGGCCCCCTACTGACCCCCGGGCCCTCGGGCAGTGCCCGAGTTTCCAAATGGTCAGCCCACCCCTGGGTTGATGTAACTATGGACAATGTATGATATTGTACAGTACAGAATTAAGCAGACTGTATAATATGTCCATACAACATGGAGGCCAATTGCATAGATTTTCGGTATCTAGTGTTATGTTGGCACCTTGAAATCTCTTTGGGTTTTTATTGAATTTTTGGAGCCTAATCTGTAGTAATTAAAAGAACTTTACCTATAACAACTTGCTAAAAAATAATCACAAAAAACTATATGTCGCCTTGCGAGCTGCTATGTTTCCAATTCCAAACAGTGTTAAAATAGCAAATATTATAAACGAAAGCTGCCACATCCTTCACATTCTAATACAGTGCCTTGAAAAAATATTCATACCCCTTGAAATTTTCCACATTTTGTCATATTACAATAAAAATTGTAAATGTATTTTATTGGGATTTTATGTGATAGACCAACAACAAATTGGCACATAATTGAGAAGTGGAAGAAAAATGACAAATGGTTCTCCAAATTTTCAACTTTTTCTCCAAAGCATTGCTAGAGAGGTTTTTTTTTTTTTCTTCGGAGAGTGCATGTGATCAGCACAGAGCCAATCAGCACTGTCCAGACAGAGGTCAGGGGTTCTGTATTCTGTTAGAGCAAAAATAAAGCTCCTCCTACAAGCTTTAACCAGTGCTTGGCTGAACACTGATAGAAGTCACAAGACTGCTCTAACTGCTGATGAGAACAGGTATTTAACACTTTATATTTACTAAAATAATTGCTTTTCCATGTTGTGTGTACTGTGGGAGGCCAGATATAGTGAATGCAGGGTCTAGGGAGACCGGATATAGTGAATGCAGGGTCTAGGGGAGACCGGATATAGTGAATGCAGAGTCCGGGGAGACCAGATATAGCGAATGCAGGGTCCGGGGAGACCAGATATAGTGAATGCAGGGTCCGGGGAGACCAGATACAGTGATGCAGGGTCCGGGGAGACCAAATATAGTGAATGCAGGGTCCAGGGAGACCGGATATAGTGAATGCAGGGTCCAGGGAGACCGGATATGGTGAATGCAGGGTCTGGGGAGACCAAACATAGTGAATGCAGGGTCCGGGGAGACCAGATATAGTGAATGCAGGGTCCGGGGAGACCAAATATAGTGAATGCAGGGTCCGGGGAGACCAGATATAGTGAATGCAGGGTCCTGGGAAACCAGATATAGTGAATGCAGGGTCTGGGGAGACCAAATATAGTAAATGCAGGGTCCGGGGAGACCAGATATAGTGAATGCAGGGTCCGGGGAGACCAGATATAGTGAATGCAAGGTCCATGGAGAGACCAGATATTGTGCATGCAGGGTCCGGGGAGACAAGATATAGTGAATGCAGGGTCCGGGGAGACAAGATATAGTAAATGCAGGGTCCGGGGAGACAAGATATAGTGAATGCAGGGTCCGGGGAGACAAGATATAGTAAATGCAGGGTGCGGGGTTTAGTAAAACTTTAAGGTACTGTTACAGTCTTTAAAGTAAACCTAAACTTTATTTATTTATTTCAGGTACTTATATAGCGCCGTCAATTTACGCAGCACTTTACATATATATTGTACATTCACATCAGTCCCTAACCCTCAAGGGGTGTACAATCTAAGGTCCCTAACTTACATTCATACATACACATACTAGGGACAATTTAGACAGGAGCCAATTCACCTAACAGCATGTCTTTGGTGTGTGGGAGGAAACCGGAGTACCCAGAGGAAACCCATGCAGGTACAGGGAGAACAGGCAAACTCCAAACTTTAAGCTTAGGTCACTTTAAAAAACTGTAAACATTAGGGATTGAAGGGCCAGGGCATGAAAAGGAGCAAAACCTCAATTGTGTGCAGTAATGACAAGATCTCATAGAACCCTGGTTTCAGATCACATGGCCTAATTGGCAGTTGAGGTACAGGCTGTGTGACCTAACAGGCCAGTTGTATGTCACATGACCCTGAAGCGGAGTGTAGCAGGATCTTATTATTGGCAGGGAGGTACATTTTACAGTTGTTCTCATATCCCTCCCTCACCCAAATCTAAACTCTGAGTCTTCAGCATGAAGCAATAACAATGAACCAATTTTCCATCCTTTACTGACCAACATAGTATGAATTCTTTTCATTACAAGCAGCAGACTTACCGCCCCAGAAACTGGACCTCTCCTCGGTGGTGGTGGGGGGATGGACTTATATTTTCCAATATCCCCTTCCGGACGTGTCACTGTATATCCGGCGTACTGCACCCTGGGAAGGAGAGAAGAGTCATATTTGAGCTTGACATACACCAAAGCCAGCGATCGGGCAGGCATTGCTGTGTGCCTACTGGCTTCACCTTCAGCCTCTCCAGTCCATCACCATCCCAGTTCTCTAATGTTCTTACCTGTTCCAGAGGTCATCATCCTCTCCTCCCCAACCCCAGAAGGCGTTAGGAAAACCATTAATGTTCTGGAACTGCTCCACCGTGAGGCCGCTCACAACCTCCAAAAAACTCCTTATAAGGTAGCCTGGGTGGAGAATACAGAGAGCAGAGCAGCTATTAGCTGGCAGAAAGGGTATGTCTCTGTAAAGAGGACAGGGACTATCAGAGTGGGGATTTATAAGAACTATATAGATCATCATGCTGATCCTCTGACTTCAGTACTTTCTCTCAGCCACTGACCTGAGAATGCAGATTATGAAAGTCAGAGAAAAGTCAGAAATCCATATCTGCATCCTTGAGTCAACGTATCAAATTCAGAGGGTCAACATGGAAGCCAGGCACTTGGCATTTATAAAAGGGGAAGTTACCAATGACAATATCAAAAAGGGGAAACTCACAGGTACATGTATTTGTCCAGTTTTGCAGCAAAGTGCCGCGGCATATTCTGACAGCCATAATAATTGCGGTCATTCTCCGGAATGTGGTCAACGTCATGAAATATCAGACAGTCCCAGTTCAAATCCTTCATTGCCTCCATAAAGCCAACATTGAAAAGCATTGCTCGGTTAAATGGCTGATTTCCAGTCTGCAAAGAAAAAAACAATATTAGTTAGCAAGTTGCTGAGCAGGAACAGTGTGTTATGTATTGAGGGCCAAATGAAGTTCTAATGAAGTTTAGGATGTCTCATACCAACATCTTCCCCAATGTCATACACAAGAAATGAAATCAGAGATCTGAGATGGTGTGTGTGTGTGGGGGGGGGGGGGGGGGGGGGGGATTGAGAGTGAGGGATATCACATATCCAAGGTGGGGGGGATCAGTGATCTGAGGTTGGGCTATCTTAGATCCTAAATTGAGTGATTTGAGTTCCATCATTAGGGGTTCATGGATCTGTGGTTGAATGATCAGAAATCCAAGATAGAGGGATCAAAGGTCTAAGGTTAAGGGGGGGGATCATAGATCTGAGGTTGAGGGATCAAAGATCTGAAGATAGAGGATAAGAAATCAGAGGCCTGAATTGAAAACAGTAGATGGCTGTCACACCTTCGTTCAGTGCTGAAGGTGATGAAGGTAACCTTGGTCAGATTTGTAAAACTCTCTTTCTCCACTAGGTGTCAGCAGTGTTCTTTATAACTTCCTGAGAAGTGCCATATACACCAACAATGGTCACCACATCTCAGCCGGAGGTGCTCTTCTTGTTGTACCCTGGTTCAGTTTAAAACTCTAAATGTTGTTTAGTCAACAAGGAGAGCTGGAAAACAAGCTTAAATCCAACCAACCAACCAACCAACCGCAGTTGGTTCAGTACCAGTATCTGATCTATTCAGTATGAAATGATCTTACCAATACACTGGGTAATCAATACAAAACATTATTCAATATTAATTCACCAGCACAAGAGCTGGGCAGAGTGTTGTCCTCTTACCTGTTCGATGACATAGAAGGCAAATTGCAGACGTTGTCGCTGCAGCATAGGAATGAGGTGTCTGAACAGAACCGGGAGATGCTCGTGTCGGTTCCGGAATGGGATAAGGATGGCAACCTGGAGACACAGGCAACACAGGATACACAAGTAGTTAGCTGCCCTGACTTGTGGTGTTGAATCTTGGGTTTGATTCCCAGCAAAGATACTAATTACAGTGTATGACTGTTAAGCCGGCCATACATGGGTCGAATTTCAAATGAATTTTCTTTCGAAAATCGTAATTATGAATTTTTGTTAGAATTCCACACCATTAGTGAGCCAAAGCCACGGCCCTTTTTCATGCGGCCATCGAATTTGAGTGCTCAGGTATGTTTGGAAATTTATTTTTAAAAACTAACAAATTTCTAATCAATGGTGAGAGAATCATGAAAAGAAATGAGCATGAGCTGTGACCTGGAAAGAAAAGAAGATTCCTGGCCATGAATTTTCTTTTCTGTAACATGAGGTGAAATTGAAGACTTGGTTGGTCGAATTTTGAAAGCCATGGTGGCACCATTGGATTACAAAACACACTAAATATGAGTCTTGGCAGCTCTAGTTTCTAGAGACTGCTCAGGACCTGCAAGTCATGTTATCACTGACTAGCACACATCATGGTTCATAAGCTCCCTCCTATAATAGTGGCTGTCCTGATGGTGACCAGAAGGAGGATCTTTTACACTTGGTGCTTACCTTCCAGCGTGGGACACAGTCTCTGGGTTTCCAATGACCACCCAGTTTCATGGAGTCTTTATCAAAGGGTTGCTGGATGTCACTCATCTGCACTTCACTCATGTTCACTTCCATGGGGCCTTCTAGATTGTGGAAAGAAAAAAACCAGAACGGTCACTGGTGAACCTGTCCATGTCAGCGCCCAGTTATAAAGAAGAGCACCCCAATGTTACCAGTTTAAAGCCTCTATAGACACATCATAGATGAACCTATCTCAGTGGCTGTTATAAAAGAGAGCACCCTGATATTATGAGATCAATACTGCTATAGACGCATCATCCATGACCCAATCCATGTCATCTAAGTCAGTGCTCCATTATAGAGAACACCCCCATACTACCAGCTAAGCAGCTCTATAGACACACCATCAATGAACCTACCCATGTCATCTAAGTCAGTGCCCCATTATAGAGAGAACACCCCCATACTACCAGCTAAGCAGCTCTATAGACACACCATCAATGAACCTACCCATGTCATCTAAGTCAGTGCCCCATTATAGAGAACACCCCCATACTACCAGGTAAGCAGCTCTATAGACACACCATCAATGAACCTACCCGTGTCATCTAAGTCAGTGCCCCATTATAGAGAACACCCCCATACCATCCATGAACCTGCCCATGTCATCTAAGTCAGTGCCCCATTATAGAGAACACCCCCATACTACCAGCTAAGCAGCTCTATAGACACACCATCAATGAACCTGCCCGTGTCATCTAAGTCAGTGCCCCATTATAGAGAACACCCCCATACTACCAGCTAAGCAGCTCTATAGACACACCATCCATGAACCTGCCCATGTCATCTAAGTCAGTGCCCCATTATAGAGAACACCCCATACTACCAGCTAAACAGCTCTATAGACACACCATCCATGAACTTACCCATGTCATCTAAGTCAGTTCCCCATTATAGAGAACACCCCCATACTACCAGCTAAACAGCTCTATAGACACACCATCTATGAACCTACCCATGTCAGCACCCATTTATACAGAAACATACCCCAATATTACCAGCTCAGCACCTCTATTGATACATCATCCATAAACCTATCCATTTCAGTGTCCCGTCATAGAGGAGAGAAATGTGATATTACCAGTTTAGAGCCTCTACAGACACATCATTCATGAATCTATTCATGTCAGCCCCCAGTTAAAAGAAGCGCTCCCAATATTACCAGCTCACAACCTCTATGGACATGTAACCAGGTGCTTAGCTAAGAATGAAGAGTGAGAGAAACACTGGCTGCAGCTGCTCTCTGTAGCTGCTGCCCTGCAGTGCAGGACTCGTTAACAGTTATATCAGCAAGAGGAGGGAACTGCTGAGTTCAATACATTGAGTCAGGCAACACTGCACTGTGGGAACTGTAGTCCAGAGGAGAGAGGATCTGCTGTAATCAAGAACTTTTCAACTGCATTTCCCAGCGGGAGATTGTCATGAGGAGGAAAAAGAGCTGCATTTTCTCAAGTTAAAAGCTTTCCGTTAGGGAGTCCAGGGAGTGCACATCGCTGTCTAGTGTGCACCACCACTGCTGCATATTGGCGGCCTGAGCAGGGTACAGAGTGCTGAATCCAGATGTACCAACAGCCAGAGTCACCTGGGTGCTGAGCAGAGAGTGGACTAATCGCTGTGTGTGACCGGATGGTGAGTTGCAATAACTCTGTGACTTGTGAGCTGTTGCTGTGAAGAGAGACTGAGCCCTTTAAGAACTGACCATACAGCCATCTAGTAGCCTTATTGCTGTCTGCAGGCTTGAGGGGGACTATTCTCATGTGCACCAACAGTACAACTGGGCCCTTACGCCAGCCGGCTAAAGAGTTTGCTTTACAGCTGCTACACAGAGACCTTTATCTATTGCTGATGCTAAGTGGTACCTCTCAGGGGACATTGCACCATATCCTAGCCATTCTTCTACAGAGCACTCTAGACTAGTTGTAGTATTATTATTCACATTGCATTTAATGCTTATATGCACGGTTTATTATTGACTTTGCTAATTCATGAGTTAATCCTAGTCCAGTTGTACAGAATTCTAATCTAAAATACCTTGGCATAATGATTGTACTGTCTAGTGGCCTATGTCTAAACCTACTTTCTATGAATTCATTTATGCTTTTCTTACCTGAACCAATATATTGAGTTATTTTACCACTAAACACTCTTGTATTTATTTCCTGGTGCAAATTCACAGACGAGTTAAAGATATCCAAACGTGTTTTCCTGTAAGTGCTTGCAGTAACCTTCATTCAACCAGGTGTATCAGAGGGGCTGAGAGTGTTCTTGGAGTTTAGGTGCACAACAGAGAACCCAAACTAAGAAGTGCCTCCTTGGGGATAGTGCTACAGACACATTGTATGAACCTATCCATGTCAGCTCCCTGATCTAGAGGAGCACACCGTGATATTATCAGCTCAGCACCTTTAGACTCATCTTCCCTGAACCTATCCATGCCATTATCTCATTATAGAAGAGCACACCCCGATATTACCACCTCAGCATATCTATAGACACATCATCTATAAACCTATTGATAAGGAAATTGCATATTACATATCTTCATTTTAATGTTGTGCCTCATTAATGTTCAAGAATGCCTCCAAGCCTTGGTTAAAGGGCTATACAAGGACAAAGTATTGTAAACGGCCTATTTGGACAAGCCAAGCCAGACCACTAATCTCCCTTCAGGAATGTGTTATCTTTCTTAGAAGGTCATCATGAGGTTTGCAGTGGGGGGGCTGGATACCCCCTACATACAAGTCTAGTATATAACACACAGCTAGGCTGGAAATATTTAGTCTCAAACTAGAGCTTGCTTTCATGCATGCGTTTGACCCAAGTCGGCCATGCAGCAAAAAGCGGGCGGGATCTCCATGGTGAAATAATATCTTTAGTTAATTATTGTTATATTTTCTAATATTTTCTATTATCTGTAATTGTCATTACTTAGTTAAAGGTTATACTTACAAGTATTTATGTGATCTCTCTTTGCACATATCGAATACAACCCCAAAAACATAACGAAACATATCTATCCGTATGAGCACCAAATTATACAGGAGAGCACCCCAATATTACTAGAATCAGCACCTCATTACCACATCATCCATGAAACTATTAATGTCAGTGCTCTGTTATACCCCCAAGAGCACCCCAATATTACCAGAATCAGAACCTCCTCACCACATCGTACATGAAACTATTCATATCAGTGCTGTGTTATACCCCCAAGAGCACCCCAATATTACCAGAATCAGCACCTCATCACCACATCATCCATGAATCTATTCATGTCAGTGCTCTGTTATACCCCCAGGAGAACCCCAATATTGCCAGAATCAGCACCTCCTCACCACATCATCCATGAAACTATTCATATCAGTACTGTGTTATACCCCCAAGAGCACCCCAATATTACCAGAATCAGCACCTCCTCACCACATCATCCATGAAACTATTCATATCAGGTCTGTGTTATACCCCCAAGAGCACCCCAATATTGCCAGAATCAGCAACTCATCACCACATCATCCATGAAACTATTCATATCAGTGCTGTGTTATACCCCCAAGAGCACCCCAGTATTACCAGAATCAGCAGGTACTCACCACATCATCCATGAAACTATTCATTTCAGTGCTCTGTTATACCCCCAAGAACACCCCAATATTGCCAGAATCAGCAACTCATCACCACATCATCCATGAAACTATTCATGTCAGTGCTCTGTTATACCCCCAAGAGCACCCCAATATTGCCAGCTAAGAGCCTCTATAGACATATAATACATGAATCTGTCCATGTCAGTGCCCATTATAGAGGAGAACACCCCAATATTACTAACTTAGATCCTCTATAGACACATCATCCATGAACCTGTGTGTCAGCACCCTATTATAGAGGCTATTGCCGCATTTTAGGGGAGAGCACCCCTATTGTCAGGAGAAAAGGCAAGGAAGCCCTGGCCAATGCCCAATATGGCCGCACTAATTTGTGCAAAAATGTGCACCGGCACATGCAGGGTGCGATAATTGCTGACACTCAGTGGCCTTTATAAGGACTGCAGCTCTGCACAATAATTGATGGAAACTCGTCAGCCCCCTGTTCCTGTGTATACTGCTGATTACCCGTTACCAACCCAGCTTGACCCTGGCCTTGCTTTGGCTCGCCTCCTGGCTCCCTACCCCAGCTTGATCCTGACCTTGCTGCTCTGTGTATGACCCCCAGCTTGATCCTGACCTTGCTCCTGTCTGCTGCTCTGTGTATGATCCCCAGCTTGATCCTGACCTTGCTTCTGTGCTGCTCTGTGTATGACCCCTGGCTTGATCCTGACCTTGCTCCTGTCTGCTGCTCTGTGTATTACCCAGGCTTGATCCTGACCTTACTCCTGTCTGCTGCTCTGTGTATGACCTCGACTTGATCCTGACCTTGCTCCTGTCTGCTGCTCTGTGTATGACCCCCGGCTTGATCCTGACCTTGCTCCTGTCTGCTGCTCTGTGAATGAGCCCAGCTTGATCCTGACCTTGTTCCTGTCTGCTGCTCTGTGAATGAGCCCAGCTTGATCCTGACCTTGCTCCTGTCTGCTCCTCTGTGAATGATCCCAGCTTGATCCTGACCTTGCTCCTGTGCTGCTCTGTGTATGACCCCTGGCTTGATCCTGACCTTGCTCCTGTCTGCTGCTCTGTGTATTACCCAGGCTTGATCCTGACCTTGCTCCTGTCTGCTGCTCTGTGTATGACCTCGGCTTGATCCTGACCTTGCTCCTGTCTGCTGCTCTGTATGACCCCCGGCTTGATCCTGACCTTGCTCCTGTCTGCTGCTCTGTGAATGAGCCCAGCTTGATCCTGACCTTGCTCCTGTCTGCTCCTCTGTGAATGATCCCGGCTTGATCCTGACCTTGCTCCTGTCTGCTGCTCTGTGTATGACCTCGGCTTGATCCTGACCTTGCTCCTGTGCTGCTCTATGTATGACCCCTGGCTTGATCCTGACCTTGCTCCTGTTTGCTCCTCTGTGAATGATCCTGGCTTGATCCTGACCTTGCTCCTGTCTGCTGCTATGTGTATGACCCCCGGCTTGATCCTGATCTTGCTCCTGTCTCCTGCTCTGTGAATGACCCCGGCTAGATCCTGACCTTGCTCCTGTCTGCTGCTCTGTGTATGACCCCGGCTTGATCCTGACCTTGCTCCTGTCTGCTGCTCTGTGTATTACCCAGGCTTGATCCTGACCTTGCCCCTGTCTGCTGCTCTGTGTATGACCTCGACTTGATCCTGACCTTACTCCTGTCTGCTGCTCTGTGTATGACCCCCGGCTTGATCCTGACCTTGCTCCTGTCTGCTCCTCTGTGAATGAGCCCAGCTTGATCCTGACCTTGCTTCTGTCTGCTCCTCTGTGAATGATCCCGGCTTGATCCTGACCTTGCTCCTGTGCTGCTCTGTGTATGACCCCTGGCTTGATCCTAACATTGCTCCTGTCTGCTGCTCTCTGTATTACCCAGGCTTGATCCTGACCTTGCTCCTGTCTACTGCTCTGTGTATGACCTCGACTTGATCCTGACCTTGCTCCTGTCTGCTGCTCTGTGTATGACCCCCGGCTTGATCCTGACCTTGCTCCTGTCTGCTGCTCTGGGAATGATCCCGGCTTGATCCTAACTTGCTCCTGTCTGCTGCTCTGTGTATGACCCCCACCTTGATCCTGACCTTGCTTCTGTCTGCTGTTCTGTATTGATCCTGGCTCTGGCTACTGACTACTCTACTCATCCACCGGGATCCACGTGTCCTCTGGAGAAACGTCTCCTGCAACCGGAGCACCCATGGGTTCCGTCTCATCAGGCATCACCAAGCAGCAACACCACTGGCAACCCGTGCTTCTTTGGGAACTGCACCTCCTGTTACCACCTCCAGGGGCGCACTGCACTTAGCCGTAAGGGGAGCCCTCTCTCTATTCCATCCTCTGGTCAGGTACGTGATACCTATATTGCCATCTGAGAACTTCCATAGACACATCTCCATGAATCTTTCAGTGCCTGTGTCCTTTATAGAGGCGAGCACCACAATGTTTTTATTCCAGAGCCTCCATTGACACATCATCCTTGAACCTGTCTGTGTCAGCACCCTATTACAGAGGAGATCACCCCAATATTACCAGCTCAGCTCCTCTACAGAAACATTTATATAGAAGTAATAATGTAAGGTCACCATAGTTAATTGTTCGGATTATTGCCTACAGTATATCAGATGATCAGAATTTTCTTTTATGGGGCTTTATGGGACAGGATTAAAAAACTTATACAGGTTCAGTGTGGATCAGATGGGTGCCCTACTGGGCACTGATCTCTGACTTACTCATGAATGGAAGGCGCTCTGGGCACTGCAGATGTGGCAGGTAGGTGAAGTCTTCGGGAAGGAAAGTCGTAGTCTGAATATAAGAGTCATTGTTGCTGAAATAGATGGGATATTCTGAAGATAAAAACACAGATGGAAAGGTGTGATTAGGATCCTGAATGTGACATTTATATCAAAGTCGCCATTTCTCTTGTGAGTTTGAGTACATAAGAAGAAGCATTCATTATCCTTCCACTGAGAACACTAGAGACCCTGCTAAACACGCTGCACATAATTCAATTTCACCACTTCCAGTCCGGACACTTTCTTTCACCCCCCTTCCAGTCCGGACACTTTCACCCCCTTCCAGTCCAGGCCAATTTTCAGCTTTCAGCGCTATCACACTTTGAATGACAATTGCGCCGTCATGCAACACTGTACCCATATGAATTTTTTAGCATTTTTTTTTTGAGACAGATAAAACTTTATTTTGGTGGTATTTATTCACCACTGGGATTTTTTTTTTTTTTTTGCTATATAAATGAAAAAGTCCAAAAATTTTGAAAAAAATTGTTTTTCTTATAAAAATTTTGCAAATAAATAATCTTTCTTCATAAATCGTGCCCAAAATGTATTCAGTTATCTTTTTAGTACAAAAAAAAAAATAACCCAAATTAGTTTATAACCAAAAATTATAATTTTTAAAAAAAAAATTTTTTTTACATTTTTATTTTTTTTTTCTATAATATTATTTATGATTTTTTTTTGTTTAAACATACTGTCACCCTAGCAGTAGAGTGACACCATGGTGACACTGTACTACTTTTGGGGGTGGTGATGGAGATTTGTATTTTTTTTACACTGATTGCTTTTACACCCATAAAGGCTGCAAAAGAAACAATTTCACCTTCTCTCTGGCTGCATTCTTGCAGCCATTGAGAAATACTGTGTGAGCTGTGATTGGTCACAGCTTGTCACATGGTACACTGTTGTGAAGAGCCTTGTACCATGTGACCTCTGTGATCATTCACAGATTTCACACGTAGTAAGCAATGATGTCAGAAGTGACATCTTGCTTACACCTATTCATGTGATCACTAATTGGCCAATCAGTGATCACATGATCGGGACCTCACACAGAGGTCACATACAGCCATCGGTGTTCAGCCGCGGTGCCGCACGCTCCCGGGGAGCACGCACAGTCCAAGATGGCGGGCGCCGTTTATGAACGGCAACCCGCTCCTGCACTGCCACTGTCCGGCCGTTTATATACATAGGAAGACAGGAAGTGGGTAAGGGCATTATAAATCTTCTTACCTGTACCGTTTGTTTTTAACCTGCATGAGATGTGCATTGATCATGTTGTTTCTTGGTGTCATTTGTTACCCTGCACACACAGCCTATAGGAGATAAAATCTTCATATGTCAGAAGTTTGTGCTAGTGTTCAAACATGAGGCATGCAGCATGGCTCTGCACAGGTTAATGCACAATCTCTAGCTCCGGAAGACATCTAGTTATGACGAAACGCGTCTGGAAGAGCCTACCTACTGACGTCATCATGTAAGAATCACCATTTTATAGCTTGTTTTTGCTGATTGATGCTTTTAATCTGCTATGCTTTTAAATTCATTTTCGTTTACCTAATAAATTAGTCTTTAACCTACTACACTATGAGAGGCACCTCTTTATTTCATATGAGTACATGTTGATCCCATAACATGGGGACGGCTTGAGGAGCCTCTGGTGGTGCACATGATCTGACATGAGACACATGAGCCTGGACAGAATTATATATAACGGGCGTATATTGATCCCCTATAATTAAGGGGTCAAAGGATCTGGTAAGCCTCCAATTTGATATAACGTTGTTGCAATCTCATGTTGGTGGTTTAGGATTTTTTCCCCTGCAGGACCAAATTGGATCGTGTTTTGCTGGGTTTTTTTTGCCTTCCTCTGGATCAACTGTCAGTGTAGAATTATAGCTTTTTTTTTTTTAATGGTTGAACTGGATGAACCTTTGTATTTTTCAGCCAGACTAAGTATGTAACTACGTAACTATATATTGGAATGAAGATTTTTCATTACTCATCACAGAATAAGGGGACTGTTCTATACACTTTATAAGAACTGTTTCACATATATGTATTCAAAATATTTATTTTTGGCAATGGTTCACTTTTGAGCACTTTTTGTTTATCCTTTATTGGACATATATTATTTGTGTATTATTTATGAATTTTTTGATGTATGAATATTTCACTTTGCAACACGAGCTATTTATTTACTGCATGATCTCTGTCTGTAGTCTGAGAACTGACAACTGTGAACTGAACTGTGAAGAAACTACATATCCCATAATCCTGGGCTCTCTCAGTCTAGCATGTCTGCCTTAAAAAACATCTGAGTAACAGACCAGGAATAAGTACTCTGTAAATAAATGTCAGAAAAGTGTCAGAATTCCTTATCTCTGACCTTGCCAGAGGCTCAGAAAGCCATGAAGTCAAAGGATCAGCATGATGGCCAGGGTAGTACCACGCAAAAAAAGTAGAGGTCAGTAGGGTATGCAATTTTCTTATGACAAGTCCACTTCAGTGTACCCAATCTGACCCTTCTATACAGTCGCAGACACCAATCAGAATTGCAGGCCGCAGTCCATACCAGAAATGCAGCTGCCCCTTGGCCCCAGGGGGATACATGTACTTGTGATTGGACAGGAAAGTGTGATATGAAAATAGAAGACACTGGGATTGACTTCCAGCCTCTTGTGTGATGGTGGTCACCCCTGTGTACCTACCTGTGTCATTAATGCTGTTATTCCTTCGTGCGTATGCGCCTCGCACCATCTGCTCGTACACCTGCGCTCCTATAGTGCGCATGTTCTCCCGTATGAGGATGCCACGAGCTTGCATCATGAAAAGATACGTGTTCACTGCAGAGACACAACAAGGAGATATGTACAAAGCTCAGAAAAAATCACAATGGATCAATGTCATAAATGGAGGAGATCAACCAATCAGATGGCTGCGTTTACTGCATACTCTGTGTAGATAAAATGCTGCATTAAATCTGATTGGCTGTTAGGCAAAACACAGACTTTTTCCTCTCCTCCACACAATGGGGGAAAGTTATAATAATCTTTCAGTCTCCTTACGTACTATCACTGACTTGTCTGCTGACAGTGATAACTATGACAAGATCAGGCCAAGGGGTTTCTGTATGTGGGATCTACTGAGAGATTTCCAGGACATGAAGCAGGAGGATGATGATGAAGAATTACACAGATGGCACAGCGGTGGATTAAATATCTTCCACACAGTGACAGCTGAACATGTTACATGACATGAAAGCTGGGGGGTGGAATTCATGAACAATGAATAAGAAACATGAGAGGAGTGCAGACAGATCCCCTGTGGCCCCTCTGTCCTCCCTCCTTTATACACCTGTGGCCCCTCCTTCCTCTCTCCTGTATACATCTCTGGCCCCTCCGTCCTCACTCCTGTATACACCTGTGACACCTCTGTCCTCCCTCCTGTATACAGCTCTGACCCCTCCATCCTCCCTCCTGCATACACCTGTGGCTCCTCCGTACACCTGCCTGTATACACCTGTGGTCCCTCTGTCCTCCGTCCTGTATACACCTGTGACCTCCCATCCTCCCTCCTGTATACACCTGTGAACCTCCCGTCCTCCCTCCTGTATACACCTGTGACCTCCCATCCTCCCTCCTGTATACACCTGTGACCCCTCCATCCTCCCTCCTGCATACACCTGTGACCTCCCATCCTCCCTCCTGTATACACCTGTGAACCTCCCGTCCTCCCTCCTGTATACACCTGTGACCTCCCATCCTCCCTCCTGTATACACCTGTGAACCTCCCGTCCTCCCTCCTGTATACACCTGTGACCTCCCATCCTCCCTCCTGTATACACCTGTGACCCCTCCATCCTCCCTCCTGCATACACCTGTGACCTCCCATCCTCCCTCCTGTATACACCTGTGAACCTCCCGTCCTCCATCCTGTATACACCTGTGACCTCCCATCCTCCATCCTGTATACACCTGTGACCCCTCCATCCTCCCTCCTGCATACACCTCTGGTCCCTCCGTCCTCCCTTCTGTATACACCTCTGGTCCCTCCGTCCTCCCTCCTGTATACACCTGTGGTCCCTCCGTCCTCCCTTCTGTATACACCTGTGGTCCTTCTGTCCTCCCTCCTGTATACACCTGTGCCTCCCCCCGTCCTCCCTCCTGTATACACCTGTGGTCCCTCCGTCCTCCCTTCTGTATACACCTGTGGTCCTTCTGTCCTCCCTCCTGTATACACCTGTGCCTCCCCCCGTCCTCCCTTCTGTATACACCTGTGGTCCTTCTGTCCTCCCTCCTGTATACACCTGTGGTCCCTCTGTCCTCCCTCCTGTATATACCTGTGCCTCCCCCCGTCCTCCCTCCTGCATACACCTGTGACCCCTCCATCCTCCCTCCTGCATACAGCTGTGGTCCCTCCGTCCTCCCTTCTGTATACACCTGTGGTCCCTCTGTCCTCCCTCCTGTATACACCTGTGGTCCCTCCGTCCTCCCTCCTGTATACACCTCTCGTCCCTCCGTCCTCCCTCCTGTATACACCTGTGGTCCCTCCGTCCTCCCTCCTGTATACACCTGTGGTCCCTCCGTCCTCCCTCCTGTATACACCTGTGGTCCCTCCGTCCTCCCTCCTGTATACACCTGTGGTCCCTCCGTCCTCCCTCCTGTATACACCTGTGGTCCCTCCGTCCTCACTCCTGTATACACCTGTGGTTCCTCTGTCCTCCCTCCTGTATACACCTGTGCCTCCCCCCGTCCTCCCTCCTGTATACACCTGTGGCCCCTCTGTCCTCCCGCCTGTATACACCTGTGCCTCCCCCCGTCCTCCCTCCTGTATACACCTGTGGTCCCTCTGTCCTCCCTCTGTATACACCTCTGGTCCCTCTGTCTTCCCTCCTGTATACACCTGTGGTCCCTCCGTCCTCCCTCCTGTATACACCTGTGGTCCCTCCGTCCTTCCTCCTGTATACACCTGTGGTCCCTCCATCCTCCCTCCTGTATACACCTGTGATCCTTCTGTCCTCCCTCCTGTATACACCTGTGGTCCCTCTGTCCTCCCTGTTGTATTGTATACACCTGTGGTCCTTCTGTCCTCCCTCCTGTATACACCTGTGGTCCCTCTGTCCTCCCTGTTGTATTGTATACACCTGTGGTCCCTCCATCCTCCCTCCTGTATACACCTGTGATCCTTCTGTCCTCCCTCCTGTATACACCTGTGGTCCCTCTGTCCTCCCTGTTGTATTGTATACACCTGTGGTCCTTCTGTCCTCCCTCCTGTATACACCTGTGGTCCCTCTGTCCTCCCTCCTGTATATACCTGTGCCTCCCCCCCGTCCTCCCTCCTGCATACACCTGTGACCCCTCCATCCTCCCTCCTGCATACAGCTGTGGTCCCTCCGTCCTCCCTTCTGTATACACCTGTGGTCCCTCTGTCCTCCCTCCTGTATACACCTGTGGTCCCTCCGTCCTCCCTCCTGTATACACCTCTCGTCCCTCCGTCCTCCCTCCTGTATACACCTGTGGTCCCTCCGTCCTCCCTCCTGTATACACCTGTGGTCCCTCCGTCCTCCCTCCTGTATACACCTGTGGTCCCTCCGTCCTCCCTCCTGTATACACCTGTGGTCCCTCCGTCCTCCCTCCTGTATACACCTGTGGTCCCTCCGTCCTCACTCCTGTATACACCTGTGGTTCCTCTGTCCTCCCTCCTGTATACACCTGTGCCTCCCCCCGTCCTCCCTCCTGTATACACCTGTGGCCCCTCTGTCCTCCCGCCTGTATACACCTGTGCCTCCCCCCGTCCTCCCTCCTGTATACACCTGTGGTCCCTCTGTCCTCCCTCTGTATACACCTCTGGTCCCTCTGTCCTCCCTCCTGTATACACCTGTGGTCCCTCCGTCCTCCCTCCTGTATACACCTGTGGTCCCTCCGTCCTTCCTCCTGTATACAGCTGTGGTCCCTCCATCCTCCCTCCTGTATACACCTGTGATCCTTCTGTCCTCCCTCCTGTATACACCTGTGGTCCCTCTGTCCTCCCTGTTGTATTGTATACACCTGTGGTCCTTCTGTCCTCCCTCCTGTATACACCTGTGGTCCCTCTGTCCTCCCTGTTGTATTGTATACACCTGTGGTCCCTCCATCCTCCCTCCTGTATACACCTGTGATCCTTCTGTCCTCCCTCCTGTATACACCTGTGGTCCCTCTGTCCTCCCTGTTGTATTGTATACACCTGTGGTCCTTCTGTCCTCCCTCCTGTATACACCTGTGGTCCCTCTGTCCTCCCTGTTGTATTGTATACACCTGTGGTCCTTCTGTCCTCCCTCCTGTATACACCTCTGGTCCCTCTGTCCTCCCTCCTGAATACATCTGTGGTCCCTCTGTCCTTCTTCCTGTATACACCTGTGGCCCCTCTGTACTTTCTCCTGTATACACCCGTAACTCCCCCCACCACCACTACCATCAACCCTCCTGTATATACCTGTGGCCACTCTGTACCTGTATATACCTGTGGCCCTTCTGTACTCCCTCCTGTATGCATCTGTGACCGCTCCATCCTCCCTCCCTAATACAACTTTGACTCCTCCATCCTCCCTCCCTAATAAAACTTTGACTCCTCCATCCTCCCTCCCTAATACAACTTTGACTCCTCCATCTTTCCTCCTGTATACACCTGTGATCCATCCATCCGCCTTCCTGTATACACCTGTGTTCCCTCCGCCCTCCCTCCTGTATACACCTTTGGCCCCTCCAAACTCCCTCCTGTACACAGATGGGTCTCTTGCGGACCTTCCATTCTCCATCATTGTAAAATCATCAGGGGCCACCCCACACACTGAATATTTTAGCTTCATCGAAAGCCAAAACTAAAACCTGCAAGTATAGTTTTTGTCCCACTGGGCAGACTTCCCTTCACTTCCCGTCCCAAAGAAGCAACAGGAAGTGAGAAAAAATCTTTCACAAATGAACTGAAATCCTCTCTTGTCGCTGGAATGGTCCACCATTGTAGGAAGAATCGTCCTCACTTTACTTTTTTTATACCACAATACATACCGTATTGGTGCGCTGAACCTGCTTGTGGGTTACTGCAAATTTTACCGACTTGCAATAGTATGAATGGGCCCTATACCACTCAATCACTATAGATCCTAACACCTACACTAGCATACCACACCTTAACCTCTGACCTTCACCTGAGCCCTGCCACTAACCTGTACCTACCTTATGGTTGTTTGTTGCAATGCAGGCCTCAGTGATCCCTCCTGTTTGGGGGCGGACTGACCATTTGGAAACTCGGGCACAGTTGGGGGCCCCATGAGATGCCCCTGGTACCTTTTTCATAGTTTTTTTTTTTGAGTTTGGGCAAGGACACAGGGGCCCCATGATCCCCGATTGCCTGGGGGCCCCATGAGTTGTCAGTCTGCCCCTGCTCCTGTTATTGCAGATGTATGATTGTTTTATCTGCTGCTTTTTGCTTGCAAAGAGACCGATAAATAGGACACAGGGGACACCTCAGCACCGCATAGGAAACTGACTGCGAGCAGAATAAAAGGCGCTGTCTCCCGGGAATCTGTGAGTGTTTTCCCTCACCAGCTAATAGAAAGAGACACTCAGCAATGGGACGATGTAGGGTGACATGCTTCGTTTTCCATTCACTAGAAGCACCTTGCAAATATTGGCGCAACTGGCACAGCTGATCACCAAAAGTATATATCCCAGCGCCAAAAAAAGAAAAAAACTATATGATTATGCAGCTGTGCACCAGTGAAAAAACACCAATAATAAACAACACAAAAACAGCACAAAATCTAAAATTAAAATAACACAAATAGATAAACACTAAATTTATAATAAGTGTCCGTGAAAAAAAAAAAATATACTGTATATATATAAGTCCTTATTCCCATCAAAACCAATAAAAAATCAATCAAAAATCTTCCAAATGTGCTTCCACCTATTCACCACGTGAGAAATAATGTTGACCGCACTCACCAGATGGAGGTGAGTAGTGAGCCTTATAGGATATAAGGGATCCTATAACCCCTCCAAAGGAACTCAAATCTCCTTCACCCTGCTATGGTATAGCCCTCGTCTCCACTCTATTCCTCCATGGATTCCTCAATGGTGTGCAGAGAAAAAAACTACATAGTGTAATACTGCCACTCCATATAGAATATAAAGATAGAACAAGGCCACTCATGTTTAAATAAAATTAAAAGCCTTGTTTAATAGCCTCAATGGCTTCAAGATAACACATTTTCAGAATGTAGCTATAGGGATCTCACGCTTCTATAGTCACTGCAGAGGATGAACAGCCTTCCACCTCCAAGATGGCCGCTTGAACTGCATAAGCCGGCGTGCGTTCCAAACACCGGAAGTGACGTTAAACCAGAATGACGGCGGACCGGAAGTGCGTCAACGCGTTTCGCCCCACCCACAGGGCAGTCTGGATGGGCCGAGCGTCCACCCCCATTCCACCTAAGCTGGATCATCCACTTAGGGCAGCAGTCCAGGGCCCAGTGGATCTCCATTCTTCCTTAGGCCTCATTCAGACATGTGGTCAGGGGACGTCAAAAGCAGGTGGTTGAGCCAAGGTTTTACTGCCCCCCAACTGCTTAACGTGCAGCCACTCAGGGTTGTACACATGCTGCGATGCTCTGTTTCACAGCCATAGCAAAAAATTACATCCCCTGTGGCATTCGGCCAGTGATTGACACCCATTAAAGTTAAAACGGCCACCCCACAACCACCCTGCAACTGTTGCAGCATGGTCAATTGCTCTTTTTGGGGTTTAAACAGGCGATAGCATAACATCTATCAGCTGCCTGTCATCTGCCCTCTGAAAAGTGCTTCACTGCAGGCACATGTTAATGAGCCCTTAAAGTGTAATTCAGCTTTTGTAATCAAATTTGAGAAAACCTAACTAAATGTTTGTTATTATTATTATTATTATTTTTATTATACAGGACTTATATATTTCCAATAGCTTGCTCAGCATTATGTGTTCCCACTCACATAAAATACCTAAAAAAAAAATTAATGTTTCTTACCCTTTGGATGTTTCTTAGTAGAAGGTGTTATGGCAGATTGCAAGCATTTCTGAAAGTCAGTGCATTCAAATGTTTTGGATTTTTTTTAATTACCTTTTGTAGCCACATTGTTTATGAGGGGCCCAGGAACCTGTGTTTTCCATAATTAGCCTGGTTTGTACTGTGCTGGCTGATCTTATTATTAGTTGTAACCTAGATTTGAATACTGTCCTGATATCGGAGAAGATATTAGGCATTTAGTACAGACCAGGCTAATTATTGAAAACACAGGTTCCCGGGCCCCTCATAAACAATTTGGCTGCAAAAGTTAATAAAAAAAACCCCAAAACATTTTAATGCACTGACTTTCAGAAATGCTTGCAATCTGTCCCAAAGGTCAATCTGTCCCAAATGAAAGGTTTAGGACTGGCTGAGTCTTCTCCGATATTAGGACAGTGTTCAAATCAGCGGCGTGCACCCGGCGCTATTGGTAATCGGTGTGTCCTACGGACATAGCTGATCATGTAATAAGGTAAAATGCCAATCACAGTGGCCTTTTACCATGTGATCAGCTGTGTCCAATGACACAGCAGATCACAATGTAAATACAGTTGCTGGTTGTCGGCTGCACTTTCCTCACGCTGTCACAGCGTGTGACAGGGGGGATCTGCACTAATAATCAGTGCCCTGATAATTAGTGCCTCCCATCAGTGCCTAGCAGTGTTTGCTCATCAGTGTCGCCCATCAGTGCTGCCCAGCAGTACCGCCCAGCAGTGCCACCTGTCAGTGCCATCTGTCAGTGCTTCCAGTCGGTGTTATCAGTCAGTGCTGCCCATCAGTGCCACTTATCAGTGCTGCCTATCAGTGCCACCTATCAGTGCCCATCATTGCTGCATATCAGTTCATCATCAGTGCCTCCTCATCAATACCCACCAGTGCTGCATCATCAGCGCTGCCTCATCAGTGCTACCTATCAGTGCCCATCAGTGTTGCCTATCAGTGCCTATCAGTGCTGCCTCATCAATGCACATCAGTGAAGGAGAAAAATTACCTGATTGCAAAATTTTATGATAGAAACTAAGAAAACCTTTAATTTTTTCAAATGTTTTGCTCTTTTTTCATTTACAGTGCAAAAAATAAAAAACCCCAGTGGAGATTAAATACCATCAAAAGAAAGCTCTATTTGTGTGAAAAAAATGATAAAAATGTTGTTTGTATGACCGCACAATTGTCATTCAAAGTGCAACAGCGCAGAAAGCTGAAAATTGGCCTGGGCAGGAAGGGGGGGGGAGTTCCCGGTAGGAAAGTGGTTAAGAACTGACCATACAGCCATCTAGCAGCATTATTGCTGCCTGAAGCTTGACTGGGACTATTCTTATGTGCACCTATGGTACAACTGGGCCCCAACACTAGCCAGCTGAAGAGTTAGAACTAAAAACTCTCCCTTTATAGTCGCTACACAGAGACATTCACCTATTGTTTATGCTAAGAGGTACCTCTCAGGTGACACTGCACCATATCCTAGTTATTCTCCTAGAGTGCATTCTAGACTAGTTATAGTATTGTTACTCACATTGTAGTTAATGCTTGTATTCACGGTATATTGCTGATTTTGCTGTTTCATGAGTTAATCCCAGTCTAGTGACACAGAACTCTAATCTAAGTTACCTTGGCATAGTGATTATTCTGTCTAGCGGACTGTGCCTGAACCTACTGTACCTTCTGTGTGTTCATTTATGCTCAAGCCACCATTTATTCTAATCAGTACTATTACATTGAGTTCATTTACCACTAAACAGTCTTGTGTCTCTTTCCTGGTGCTAATTCACAGCTGAGTTAAAGGTATCCACATGTGTGTCCCTCTAAGTGCTTGCCGGCTGTGTGTTATACCCTGGTTGCTACCCCTTCCTCCTGGCAAGTGGCAGAGGAACCAATCAGGAAATGTTGGAGGAGGATCATGGGACATGAGAGTGCACATTTCTGTCCAGTGTGTGCCACCACTACTGCATAATAACCACCTGAGCAGGATCCAGAGTGCTGACTCCAGATGTGCCAACAGCCAGAGTCACCTTGGTCCAGTGCAGAGAGTGGAAAAATCCACATTTGGGACTGGAAAATGAGCTGCAATAACTGGTCATTTACCACTAAACAGTCTTTTATCTATTTCCTGGTGCTAATTCACAACCAAGTTAAAGGTATCCACACATGTGTTCCTCTAAGTGCCTGCAGTAACTTTCATTCAACCAGGTGTGTCAGAAGGGCTGAGGGTGTTCTTGGAGTTGAGGCACAGAACAGAGAACCTAAATTACCAAGGGGGCTCCTGCGGGGGTAGCACTACACATGGAATAGTCCTTAGGGGATGGCTCAGGTCCTGGGGTGTCAGGACTCCTGGAGCTATGTGTGTGGAATAGACCTTTGAAGGGATGGCTCAAGACCTGGGGTGGGGGACCTCCTGGAGCTGTCTGTGGAACAGACCTTAGAAAGAATGGCTCAGGTTCTGGGGTGGGAGTCCTGCAGGAGCTGTGTGTGGTGTAGACCTCAGAAGAGATGGCTCAAATACGGAGGAGGGAGACATCTTGTATCTGTGTGTGGAATAGATCTTAAAAGGATTGGCTGAGGTTCTGTGGTGGGGGTACTTCAGGAGTTCTGTGTGGCGTAGACCTCAGAAGAGATAGCTCAAGTACTGATGAGGGAGACCTCTTGAAGCCGTGTCTAGAATAGACCTTCAGAGGAATGGTTCAGGTCCTGGAGAGGTGGACTCCTTGAGTCGTGTGTGGAATAACCTTAAAAAGATGGCTCAAGGTCTATACTGGGGGAATCCTTGGACCTTTATGTGTGTGGAATAGACCTCAAAAGAGCAGTTGAACAGTTCAGGTCCTGGAGTGGATCTGCATTATACAAGTGATTTGTCAGAATTTTATTATCCAAATATCATGTTTGAAGGTCTTCCAGAAAAGTTGACAGGTGGCAATCTGCACACTATTAAGCTCTATAATCTTCCTCATAAAAAGAGAAATTTGTTCCTTTTTACTACTGTATAGAGTGAAATCATTATGACTCAGCATGCTGTCCCATGGAGCTAACACTCTAATGTAGAGAAGGTTCAGAGTTCAGTCTCCAGCAGGGGTGGACTCACAACTCATGGGGCCCCCCCGGGCAATAGGGGATCATGGGGCCCCTGTGTCCTTGCCCAAACTCAAAAAAGCCTATGAAAAAGGTACAAACTCAAAAAAGCCTAATGAAATGGAAAAAGGTACCAGGGGCATCTCATGGAGCCCTCTACTGACCCCAGGCCCTCGGGCAGTGCCCGAGTTTCCAAATGGTCAGTCCGCCCCTGGTCTCCAGTATTTGTGCTATGTGTTAAGCTGGCCACAAATCTGATTAGACAATCTATTTAGGGAAACTTTATGTTCCCTAAGCATGTAAACTTAGCGGTACCTTCATATTCTGATCTGTCAGATGTTCAAAGGAACCCCTTTTGCCAAACATGAACATTTAACAGCTCTTTTACTAATATGCAGATTATGACTTTTTTATATAGTACTTATGCCCTCTAACCACCAGCTGCTGGCCTAATACATGACTGTTATAGGGCAGGAAATATGTAATTGATATCCAGGCTGATTGATAGCCTATCTTCATCTCAATGTCCTGTATGAGAAACAATATTGTGGAGCCCAGTAAAGAAATAACTAGGTCTCTGGGACAGACTGGAGCACAGTTTGGGTTTAATGATCATGAGTTGTTTAGATTTAGGATAGTTCTGTAAGCATCAGCAAGAAAAATAATTACATTACAATTAGATTGCACATAAATCTACGTGTGTGATCTCATAAGATTTTATGTAGTTATAGCATTATGTGAGATTTATGAAGCAGTGATTTGTTATACTTGATAATCTTCCATTAGATCAGAGCAAGATGGTAAAGCAACATCAAACCTTACTTTATTCTTTCATTTTTTTATTTTTTTTTAGTCTTTACGGTAAAATATTTTATTTTGCAGTTTTCTACATAAACTTAGTAAATTTTATAATTAGTCTGTAACCTGTATGGCCAGTTTTAGAACATTTATAATCATGTACAGGGGCAGACTGACCATTTGAGCACTTGGGCACTGCCAGAGGGCCCAGGGTCAGTAGGGGGGCCCCATGAAATGCCCCTGGTACCTTTTATAGGTTTTTTTGGGTGTGCTTTGAGTGTGGTCAAGGACACAGGGGCCCCATGATCCCCTATTGCCCGGTGGCCCCATGAGTTGTCAGTCTGCCCCTGCCTCAGCCTATACCCCTTAATGGTTCTGGGGGACTTTTTCCAGTATCCCCAGAAGGAACCAATGCCTGTAATTCGAAATCTGGGACTCATAGGGGTTGATTTACTGAAACTAGAGGGTGCAAAATATGGTGCACCTCTGCATAGAAACCAATAAGGTCCAGGTAAGACTTCCATAGCGATTTGTAGGGAAACACCGATCTTGATAGCTACAATACAGAGGCCAGCTCAAATAGTGAAGCTTTTTTGGGTGTGCTTTGAGTGTGGTCAAGGACACAGGGGCCCCATGATCCCCTATTGCCCAGGGGCCCCATGAGTTGTCAGTTCTCCCCTGATCATGTAGTACCATCCTAGAAACGTGCTAGGTTAGGTAAATTTAGTTCTAGGCTCATAGTAATCACTGTAGCTGTATGTGATTAGTTTGGTCTGTTCCATATTTCACTGGCTGCAGTGTTGATGGTTTCCCCCTGTCTGGCTGGAAATGGGCTGGAAGATAATAGGAGGGAAAAGTCAAATTAGCAGCTGATTATTTATGCAGCTGTGGCCAATCTCTGGGAATAGTTGCCCAGATGGTGGCTGAGAGTGTGTATAAATACACTGAGACCTGGAACTGAAGTGTCTTGTCCCTAAGGAGGAAATCACAGCCTAGAGGGGCTGTTTGCCCCTAGGCAGGTGTGCCATGCGTTTGCTGTTCATAGAGGTAACAGCTGGACAAACAAGGGGGCCTACTTTAATAAAAGTTGCTGGAGCTGACTGAGGGGCATTTCATCTGTGGATCTAGTCTGGTATCACTTGAAGAAAGGGCCTGGAATATATTGGAAAGAGGTCACCAATTATCCAAGGACATTAGCGAGTACAGGCTGGTGTCAGAGAACCCTGAGACTATGTGCTGTTGCCACCTCTCTGGTGCTATAGAGTTAGCTGTGTTCAAAGGGAACATTGTGTCTAGTGTCCTGAAGAGCTCAGTCCATTAATTCCTGGTGAGAGGACTGTGCTCATATCTGCAGGAGGAAGATTATTCGCCTCAAGTTGCTACTACAAAGCTCAAGCCGCCATTTCCTTGTGTTCATATCTTTAAAGGAGAGAGTTAAGTGTTCTCAAATTGCTATTAAGAGTTACTGGAGTATTCCACAATTACCCCGAACCTATCCAAGTTCAGGTTCTGCAATAAAGCATTATAAAAGTATACTTCTAGACTGTTCATTGAGCTAAAGTAGTGACTGTGACTGTGTGCCTGGCTTCAGGGCAACTCTGGGAAAAGACCTAAGGGACCTTTAATACTGTGATTCCTACGGGGTTACTGTTAACCTAACCTAAGACTCTTAAAGTAAAGAAGTCAGATAATATGAAAAGGTTTCCAGTACATCCCCAGCCACAGATCATTCACACAGCTCCTAAAGGCTTATGGAGGTCTTTGTGCACCTCAGATGGGGTCAGGTCTTAGTTCTTGAATACAACGCATATGACTATTCTCCACCATTTACTAATCCCATCCAAATTTTCCATTCCAGATCACCAAATTTGTGGACCTAATATGACTGCAGAGATATACAGTACCTTGTAATATAGGCCACGCAGTGATATATCTAGGGTTTCCTGAACAGGCAAGGGCTGCTTCCTTTTCCTAGCACCATGTATCAGCAACATGTTTCCATTCTCCAGCAGATGTGACCAACTACTTCCTGAACCCAGACTGACTGAAACTCTGTCGGATGAATGTTTTTATGAGCGTCCTGGTCACAGCAAGTCCAGTCTGGGTGTGTGTATTCTTGTCCTGCTTTCTGAAATGCCACTAGATTTTCTGGCTCATTAAAGATCAATTTAGTATCAAGATCAATCAAGTATCTATGAAGGCTCCCCCTCATCCAGGTCATGGTTTACCAGTAGTATTTGGTCTCATTCAACTGGATTTTCTCTGTAATGTGAACGCATTTCACTACCCAACCAACTACCTTCCTTAGCACTTATGAATGTCAAGAAGTTACCCCAGCATTTAAAGTCACACAGGTAACTCAGCGTAATCCAATCACCATGGAATGTCCCTTGGCAGATGATGATTGTTCCAAATCATGATGTAAGATGTAGAAGTGTGTAAAGCCACCATGTTCTAATTACATAATACAATCACTATGTGGCCATGAAGCCAGGACAGGTAATAATCATTTGAGTTACATGGCTGGGGTGTGTGAATTGGTATTAAATGGTGGTATCAGATTGTGTTGATGGCCCCCACCCCTGTGTAGGGATGGTTGTTCCAGACTGACGTAGATCTTTACATAGAAGCCATAATGTGCACGTCATTGACCTTGAACAAATGTTCATTCTCCTTTCCTTTCTCCCCCTGTATGAAAACCATGTGTATGATTGACACCAGTTTCGGTGTTGTGCCTTTATTACCCTCATGACATTTACAAAGCACAGCAGTGGGGTCATCACTGTTAGACACTGTTCTGTAGAAAGACTTCTAAGTCATGACCTGAAGAGTTTGACTCCCTAGTATACAGATCATTGCAGTCCTGGCTATACTCGACTGCATATACCAAGTTGCATCGCTTGTGTTTGGTTGCCAGGTCCTTTGTATGTACAAGCTTCTGTCTCAATAGGGTGGATTTATTAAAGGCACATAGACTGTGCACTTTGCAAGAAGAGTTGCTCCAGAGTTTAGTAAATAAGGTGAAGCTTCACTTTGCAAATAATATCCAATCACATGCAAGGAAAATGTAAAAAAAAAATGCATTTTTGCTTGCACATGATTGGATGATAGAAGTCATCGGAGCTTCCCCTCATTTACTAAGCTCTGGAGCAGCCACACTTGCAGAGTGCAAAGTACACAGAGTATTTGTCTTTAGTAAATCCACCTCAGTGTGTTGCTGGGCTTGAAACACACAGGAGTTGGGCTATTTGCTAAAAATCCTTCTAAACTTTTGAGACATTTCAGCCACTAAAGAGATGACTATATTAGAGTTGCTGAGGCTACATAAATAAGTAATGAAACAAACATCTGCAACATTACTGCAAAAGTCCAGCTGAATATGACTACTACTTGATATCATTTTGGGTCAATTTCTAGAATTGTACCCAACAATTTTCCACTTCTTCCCTTATCTTTCTCCCCTTCCACTATTTTGGGCAGTGATTATAGTAAAGCCCTTTAGGTTGGCATCTCACCTTGGGTTGCTTGGCCCAGTAAGTAGGCTCTTGAGTGCTGCAAGCCTTCTGTTTGGCAAAAGCATTCTTTTCTTGGGAGCCATCCATAATTGGAAGTAATCAGGCACTATTTTACATGGGCTTCCCCTTGGAGAGAAGTGTGGAGACTTCTCCCATTATGGGAGGTAAGGCTGATTCTGTTCCTACTTTGGAGGAACATTGGGACATTCACTAACCCGCTGCTAGAACACACTTCTCTTTACACCTCTCTCAATGCATTATTAAAGATTTTTGTAACTCATATAAGTGTGGTGTCACCATTATCTTTTATGACTGTTTTATACATATGATCGATTTCAATAAAGTCTTTTTGCTGCTGTCAAGGAGCCTTGAGTGGACTGTTTATTCAGCAATGTGGGCCTACTCTTGGACATGGTCTCAGGTCTGGAGAAAAGAACAGGACAAAGGCCAGCGTGTAGATTGGATTGGATAGAGGTGCTGAGTTCTGGACAGGACAGGCTGGGCCACCCACAGGGTGTCACTAGAGGATTGAAACCCTGGTGGGCTAATTTCTAGAGAACCTCAGGAACCTTGTGGATCGCTGACAAGCAAAAGCTTACTGCACACTATAAGTGGTCCTAGTACATTAAATGCCTACCCCAAGTACCTGGCTCAGGGTATCAGGAGGTCAATGAAGAATTATTTGGTGCAGCCATTGGTAGATTTTTACTTCCAATCCCCCCCGTCCAACTGCCTATCCCCAACTGAATGGCTAGTTCTAATATAACACGATCATATTAAACACAGAGCACAGTGAGGCGGGGGCAGAGGGACTAGAGGGCAAACTATCACTTCACTCTAAAAGTTTGGTTTTAGGTCAAAGGACTTGGAGTGGGGGATCTGTAAGTACACAGTGCACTACTCCACCAATAAAAATAGAAAAAACAAAGTGTGGGGGCAGCAATTAGGACCCAGTGGGACAGATCAGAACCTTTTTTATAATATAAAAATAATACTGAGTAAGCGATATGTGGGTGGCTGTCTACAGCCACTAGAAGCCTTGCCACCCAAGGCAATCACCTATGTTGGCTATGCTATATGGACTGGGGTGCAGCATTATGTATTTGAATGGCTGATAGCTATTGTTCTAAAAGCTGCACAACATTCACTCAAAATTGTGTATTTCCGTTCCTTGAGGAGGAACATTGAACTGATGACAGATGACAAGCAGTCAGTAGGAATAGATGGTAAAAGCTCACAAGATGTGCTGACTTCTTTTTCATGTTACGGATAACAGAAACGCCAGATTCATACTAATAAAATATAAGGCTGTCTTGAAAGTACAACCGCAGCGTGAGGATTTCCTTTACAGGCCTCATTCCTCTGCATGTCTTTTTTTTCAACAGAAAAGTATTCATCTCCTTGAATGGGTGGAGGAAACATCTATTACACCTGCACAGGGGGAGGAGTCATCTACATATCCTCATTACACCTGGACAAGTGGAGGAGCCACCTACATATCATTATTACTCATTTGCATGGGACGTCATCTACATATTATTTTTCCTCCACAGGGGACAAACCATCTACATAATATTATTACACCTGCACAAGAGGAGGAGCCATTTAATATCCTTATTAGACCTGCGCAGCTGGAGGAGCCATCTACGTATTTTTATTTCACTTTTACATTGGAAGAAGTTGCTTATTTATTATTATTACACCTGCACAAGAGGAGCAGCCACCTACATATCATTATTACTCATTTGCATGGGCAGTCATCTAAATATTATTTTTCCTCCACAGGGGACTGTCAGGGCAGGAGCTGAGGAACGGACAGGCAGGCCTAATAACAATGTAACGCACTGGCTGACGACAACCACCACCCACAGACCGAAGTCCCTCAGGGAGCGGAGTCTAAGTCCCAGGCTGCCCTTCACCAGGGCCCCTGATGGTGGGGATGGACTTGACGCAGCCAGGAAACAGGTCACGGCCCCCGAGACACCTCAGTAGCGGTAATGGCCACCGCCAATGGCGTGTAGCTGGTGGAAAAGACAATAGAGTAGTCAGGCAGGCCGGGTCGACAACAACGGGACAAAACGGTACAGGACAGCAGACAAGAATCACAGGTCACGAGCCGGGTTCAGCAACAGAGGGTCAGATCAAAGGAGAACACAAAGAATAGTCGAGTACAAGCCGAGTCAGATTCCAGGAGAGACACGAGAGTCAGAACAGAGTTATAGCAACACAAAGACACAAGACACAAGTGCAAAGAGCATGTGCGGACCACAGGCTTATATGTCATCAGCCACACCCCTCTGGGGGATGGACCTCAGAGACCTGAAGGCATAAAGGATTCCCACCATGCTCAGCAGAAATCCAAGATGGATGCCAGCACATGGAGTAACATAACCTCTGGGAAAAGGTAGGACCTTGACAGGGACAAACCATCTACATATTATTATTACACCTGCACAAGAGGAGGAGCCATTTAAAATCCTTATTAGACCTGCGCAGGGGGAGGAGCCATCTACATATTTTTATTTCACTTTTACATTGGAAGAAGTTACTTATTTATCATTATTACACCTGCACAGGAAAAGAGACATCTACATATCATTGTTACTGCTTCAGAGTGGGAGACGTCATCTATATATCATTATTACACTTGCACAAGGGGGAATTGACTATATAAAATTATTACACCTGCACAGGGGGAGGAGTCATTTAATATCATTATTAGACCTACACAGGGGGGAGGAGCCATCTACTAATTAATATTTCACTTTTACATGGAGAGGAGATATCTACAGTGGGTATAGAAAAGAATCACCCCCTTTTAAAATAATCACATTTTGTTGCTTTTCAGTCTGAAATGAAGACAGACACAGTTTTTGTTTTATCCAGCTGTTTTTACTCAGTGAAACTTATAAGATCCAAGTTTAAGATATAAAAACCAATATGTCAAAAAAAAAATTCAAAAGCAGAATCACTGAGTTGGAAAAAGGATCAACCCCCCCCCCCCTCCTAAAAATGACACTCAATCAGGTGTAGCTAATCACCTTCTTAATGGCATGCAAAGCCATTTGACTTTCAACTGTCATCAGCTGTGGTCATTTTGATTAGGTCAACATGAAAAGAACTTTCCTGGAGCATTTCAGTCCCTGATAGTGCACCTGAAGGCAACAATCAACTATGGCTGGCAAGGCAATGTCAGAAGACTTCCGGGATCAAATTGTGGACAGACACAAGTCAGGAGATGGATACAAAAAAAATGCAATGCCTAGAATGACAGTGAAGTCTATTATTAAGAAATGGAAGGTATTTGGTACAACACAGACCCTTCCTGGATCAGGACGTTGCTCCAAACTGGATGAAGGAGGAAACTGGTCAGAGAGGTTACCAAGAGGCCTACAGCAACTCTGAAGCAGTTGCAGGAATTTATGACAGAGTGAATGTGACAACAATATCACAAATTCACCACAAATGTGGCTTGTATGGGAGAGCTGCAAGAAAAAAGCCGCTCCGCAAGAAAGGCTACATGCAGTCATGACTGAGCTTGAAGATTCTAAGGCCAGATAGAAAAAGGTGTTCTGGTCAGATCAGACTAAAAATTGAATGATCTGGCCTCAACACTAAACGATATGTCTAGCGGAAGTCCAATACAGCTCATCATCCAAATACCACCATTCCTACAGTGAGGCATGGAGAGGGTAATATCCTGTTACGGGGTTTTTTTTCTGCAGCAGGGACTGGAGCACTTGTCAAGATAGAAGGAAAAATGGATGGGGCAAAATACTGTCAAATTCTTGAGGAAAATATGTTACCCTCTGCAAGAAAGTTGTCAATGGGAAGAAGGTTTACCTTCCAACAAGATAATGACCCAAAGCACACAGCAAAAATGACCACACAGTGGTTAAAGGAGAAAAAGGCGAATGTCCTTGCATGGCCTAATCAGGGCCCAGACTTAAACCCCATTGAAAATCTGTGGAATGACTTGAAGACTGCAGTCCACAAACCGTCACCATGAAATTTAACTGAACTTGAGCAGTTCTGCAAATTTCGCAAAGTCTAGATGTGCAAAGTTAGCAGAGACATCCCAACAGACTAAATTCTGTAATTAAAGCAAAAGGTTGATCAACAAAATACTGACACGAGGGGGTGATCCTTTTTCCAACTTCTGTTTTCGAATTTTTATTTATTTATCTCTGACATGGTGATGTTATATCTTTCACTTGGATGTTATAAGTTGCATTGAGTAAATAGAGCTGGATAAAACAAAAACAGTGTCTGTCTTCATTTCAAAGCAACAAAATGTGATTATGTGGGTGAATCTTTTCTATACCCACTGTACATATCATATTTATACCTATGCAGGGAGATGTCTGTAAATCACCATTACACATGCGCAGGAGGAGGATCTATCTCTATATCCATGATACACATGCAGGGTGGAAGGAACCTTTAACACAAATTACTGTTATATGTATGCAGGGGGAGGAGCCATACCTATATAATTATTATTCCTACATCATTATTATACTTTAATAGGCCGATGAGCTGTCTATGTTCTATGATATTATTATGAGCGTGGTGGGAGGAGCAATATACATATCATTATTATACCTACGCAGGAGGAGGAGTCATCTGTAGAGCATTATTATACCTGCGCAGGGAGAAAGGCTGTATACATTTAAGTTTTACACCTGAATAGGAGGAGTCATCTATCATTATAAAACCTTCACCTTATAGTGAAGCACTGATGAGAATCCTGTATCTCCCATCCCCCTCTATGGATGGAGGAAGAATTTCCATGGATTGGAATATCCCTTTATATCACTTGCCGGAAAAACTGATAAGGGGACCCTCCTCCCTCCCTACTGAGCACCACTGCCCAAGGCCCCTATCACTATCATGAACATTTATAGTACAACACTCAGTAATGTATAGTGCACTGTATTACATTAGCATTCACACACTGCTAGGTATAGATAAGTCCCTATCACTTGCAACATTCGTCCATACACACACACACATACATGATATGTATAAATGTCTCTTACCTATTCCTGGCGCCACATAAATGAAATAAAGGAAAGAAGAGGACAAGCAGAAGAGAAATATGACTGCCAACACAGATCGGTTCGGAATTCGGATAATCTTCCTCATGGCACAATATGAAATTGTCAAAAAAGAGATGTAGAAAGAAAAACGTGCAGTTCCTGGAAAGAGGAAGGGGGTCACATCCACATATTAATGGGCTCAGGGTGACAACAGATAACAATCAGTGGTCATATCTGAAAATTAGAAGTTATTAGGCATTGTAATATAAAGGGGGGGGTCACATCCATAGACTGTGTGGCTGTAATAATGAATGATGATCAGACGTCTCCTGGCATCAATAAGGAGTCTCCAAATGTAGAAGAGGGATATCCCACAGATATCAGGGTCTCTAGATATAGAGGAGGGAATATAGCACAGATATTGGAGTCTATGGATATGAAGGAGGGATATTCCACAGATACCGTGGTCTATAGATATGGAGTAGGGATATCCCACATATATTGGGTTCGCTATATATAGAAAAGGAGATGTTCCACAGATTTTGGGATCTTCAGATATACAGGAGCAGATGCTCCAAAAATATCAGATTTTCCAATGAAGAGGAGGAGGTGTTCCACAAATATCAGGGCTTCTGATTCAGAAGAGATGTTTCACAAATATAAGGATCTTCAGATATAGAGGAGGAAATGTTTCACAGATTTTGGGATCTCTATATATGGAAAAGGATATGTTCCATAGATATCAGGGTCTTCAGATATAGAGGAGGAGATGGTCCATAGATATTGAAGCCTCTGTATAGAGTGGGGTCTTCCACAGATATTAGGGCCTCTGCAAACAAAGGAGGGTATGTTCCACAGATATGAGGGTTTTCAGATACAGAGGAAGGGATATTCCATATATATTGGGTTCTCTGTATATAGAGGGATGTTCCACAGATGATTGGGCTCTCCAGATATAGAGAGATACTCCACAGATGTCAGGAGTCTTCAGATATAGAGTAAGGATGTTCCACGGATGTCAGGGGTCTTGAGATATAGAGGAGGGGATATTCCACAGATGTTGAGGATCTCCAAATATACAGGAGGGATATTCCACAGATTTCAGGGGTCACTGGATATAGTGAAAGAATATTCCACAGATAATGGTATCTCAAATAAGGCAGGTCCACACATGCTGGAAGTCTCTAGGTAAAAAGGACATGACAGATCCACCGATGACAGGACCTCTATGGATACTGAAGAAAAAGTAAGTCCACAGATAATAAAGAATCAAATTGTTGAGTCAGTAGATTCGCAAAAGGTGAGGGTCTCTGGACATACAGGAGAGGGCAAATCCACAGACAATGGGGGTCTATAAAAGAGAGTAGATCTACAGATGACAAGGGTCTCTGGACATAGAAATGATGAAAGATCTACACATGACGAGGGTCTCTGGATATAGAAGAGGTGAAAAATCTACAGATGATAAGGGTCTCTGGATATAGAAAAGATGCTGGATCCACAGACGATGGTGGTCTCTGTATATAGAAAGGATGGTAGATCCATAGACAATGGGGGTCTCTGGATATAGAGGATACGGTAGATGTGGAGGAGCCAGTGATCTTAGTGTATGAATTAAAGGTAGATCCACAGATGACGAAGGCTTCTGGATACAGAGGAAGAGGATTGTACTGCAGAGCAGAGGTAGAAACACGAGTAAGTGGAGGGATGGAGATAAAATAAATGGTAATCCCAGAGAAGGCTTTGGAGTCTGTGACAACTCCTCTGCAGGTGGGTAACATCCACAACAAAGGGGGCCCTGGGCAGTTCCTGGGAAGGGAAAGTGATAGGGAAGGACAGTGAAGAGAAGGGGTTCCCCTAGCTGCTAGTCTAATGCTGAGCAGCTCATGAATGGGAAGAAAGAAGACGGGGAGGGGGAGCGAGGAGACAGGGAAGTGGGTGTGTTCTGGCAGAGACTGTCTACAAACTGCCAGCTGCAGCAGATAGCAGACAGGTCAGAGCTATGTCCTCTGCAGAAACTCACAGCAGCCAATCAGAAATCTGTCTCTGCCTCTTTCAACAGATCAATGCCATTAGGAAGGTTTCAATTGTCCACCGTAATGGGTTGAGGTGATGAACAGAATATTCAAAGTGGACACAGGCAGATGTACGCTGTGCAACGCACCATGCAGGACTGCAAAGGAGAACAAATGCCTCCTTTGTAGCTACACTTCATCTTATCTCAGTTTAGGGTCTACTATTTGTATCTACATGCATCCAGGGGCGGACTGACCATTTGGAAACTCGGGCACTGCCCGAGGGCCCGGGGTCAGTAGGGGGCCCCATGAGATGCCCCTGGTACCTTTTCATAGGCTTTTTTGAGTTTGGGCAAGGACACAGGGGCCCCATGATCCCCTATTGCCCGGCGGCCCCATGAGTTGTCAGTTTGCCCCTGCATGCATCCCACTGCCACGGAAGAACTAAAGGGTTAAATCCTCATTTCAGGATAAGTTGGGCCAATTATTCCTTTTTACCCCTCAAAAAATAACTGTACATCCACAAGGGCTGGTATACAGCATAATACAGATACAGCCTAATACAGAACACTTTATGCTCATCTGTACACAGGGTGGATAAAAATCGATGATTTAAAAAAAGAAAAAAAAAATATTTTTAAAAATTTAAATCAGATTTTTTTTTTTTAATCAAATTTATTTTAATAAAATGCTTTTGGAGTAAAAATATATCTAAAGATAGTTTTCTATTTAAGATACATTAATAACAGTTTATTCAGCATGAAATGGAGCTTAGTTATGTAGCATGAGCAGGGGCGGACTGACCATTTGGAAACTCGGGCACTGCCCGAGGGCCCAGGGTCAGTAGGGGGCCCCATGAGATGCCCCTGGTACCTTTTTTATAGTCTTTTTTGAGTTTGGGCAAGGACATAGGTGCCCCATGATCCCCTATTGCCCGGGGGCCCCATGAGTTGTCAGTCCACCCCTGAGCATGAGCAGAGGCAGACTGACAACTCATGGGGCCCCCGGGCAATAGGGGATCATTGGGCCACTGTGTCCTTGCCCAAACTCAAAAAAGACTATGAAAAAGGTACCCCATCTCATGATTCGCTGTCACGGCGGTCACATGATCGGAAAAGGTCCCTATCACAGGGTCAGTTCAGGTGGAAGGCAGAAACGTGGTTTAGAAGCAATCCGGATGGCAAGCAGAGGTATCGTCAATAAACAGGTCAATGTCAGTTCAGGTGGAAGGCAGAAACGTGGTTTAGAAACAATCCGGATGGCAAGCAGAGGCATTGTCATAAAACAGGTCAATGTCAGTTCAGGTGGAAGGCAGAAACGTGGTTTAGAAGCAATCCAGATGGCAAGCAGAGGCATCGTCAATAAACAGGTCAATGTCAGTTCAGGTGGAAGGCAGAAATGTGGTTTAGAAATAATCCGGATGGCAAGCAGAGGCATCGTCAATAAACAGATCAATGTCAGTTCAGGTGGAAGGCAGAAACGTGGTTTAGAAGCAATCCGGATGGCAAGCAGAGGCATCGTCATAAAACAGGTCAATGTCAGTTCAGGTGGAAGGCAGAAACGTGGTTTAGAAACAATCCGGATGGCAAGCAGAGGCATCGTAAATAAACAGGTCAATGTCAGTTCAGGTGGGAGGCAGAAACGTGGTTAGAAACAATCCAGGCGGCAGGCAGAGGCATCGTCAATAAACAGGTCAATGTCAGTTCAGGTGGAAGACAGAAACGTGGTTTAGAAACAATCCGGATGGCAAGCAGAGGCATCGTCAATAAACAGGTCAATGTCAGTTCAGGTGGAAGGCAGAAACGTGGTTTAGAAGCAATCTGGATGGCAAGCAGAGGCATCGTCAATAAACAGGTCAATGTCAGTTCAGGTGGAGGGCAGAAACGTGGTTTAGAAACAATCCGGATGGCAAGCAGAGGCATCGTCAATAAACAGGTCAATGTCAGTTTAGGTGGAAGGCAGAAACGTGGTTTAGAAGCAATCCAGATGGCAAGCAGAGGCATCGTCAATAAACAGGTCAATGTCAGTTCAGGTGGAAGGCAGAAACGTGGTTTAGAAATCCAGGCGGCAGGAAGAAGCATCGTCAATAAACAGGTCAATGTCAGTTCAGGTGGAAGGCAGAAACGTGGTTTAGAAGCAATCCGGATGGCAAGCAGAGGCATCGTCAATAAACAGGTCAATGTCAGTTCAGGTGGAAGGCAGAAAAGTGGTTTAGAAACAATCCAGGCGGCAGGCAGAGGCATCGCCAATAAACAGGTCAATGTCAGTTCAGGTGGAAGGCAGAAACGTGGTTTAGAAACAATCCAGGCGGCAGGCAGAGGCATCCTCGGTAAACAGGCCAGGGTCAATTAACGTGGAAAGCAGAGGCATGGTCAATCAAGGCAGGCAAATGATCAGCACAGATTTTAGAAACAGGGAAATGGCAGGCTGTAGAAATAAGGGAAACGAGTATTTTAGTGCAGTGTGATAACGTTGGAAGCAATCTCCGATGCGCAGACTTGGTTGGGAGGGCCATTGGGGACAATGACAACACTGGTGCAGGGGCGGACTGACTATTTGGAAACTTGGGCACTGCCCGAGGGCCCGGGGTCAGTAGGGGGCCCCATGAGATGCCCCTGGTACCTTTTTCATAGGCTTTTTTGTTTGGGCAAGGACACAGGGGCCCCATGATCCCCTATTGCCCGGGGGCCTCATGAGTTGTCAGTCCGCCCCTGCACTGGTGTCTCTCCTAACGCCTCCTCTGCTGCATACCCAACATTTTTTTTTGGTGTCTTCTTCCTTATTCTGTGTGTGGAATGTTCCCTGGAAAATGTTGCTCGTGAAGTCTGCTCACGCAAACAGAACAAATGTTTTCTGGGGGGGGATCCTTGCTGGTAGATAAGGGCAGTGATGATTTCTTCTATATATTTGAGGAAGGTAGTGGGTCTTTCTGTTGACTTTTGATAGATGACATATGCATTGTAAATGGCCAAATGGAAAAGGTCAATTACAACTTTTTTATACCAGTAGAGGGACATTCTTGTTGAAAAATGGGACTGTAGCATCTGATCATATAAATCCAGCCCCCCCCATTAACCGATTATAATCATGA